TGAAAGATGAAACTACATCAAAAAACTACCAGGACATAATCGGAGGGAAGTTCAGACCTTTGCTTGATCACTCTGATACCCACCTAGACATAGATAGCACCTGGGAAAATATTAAGCAAGCATTGAACAGCACAACAAAGGATGTTCTGGGAATGAAAAAGAAGAGACCGCAGGAAGCATCGATCTCACAAGAAGTGCTAGATCTCAGCGAAGAACGCAGCAAAATCAAACGAGCCAAACAAAATGACCCTTCACTGAAACCAAGGTACAACTTTCTGAACAGAGAGATAAAGAGGAAGACTAGGGACTGTCAGAGAAGCGTGGCTCAAAGACTTTTGCAGAATTTTAGAGTAGAAAACGCACATCAAGCTGCGAAATCGAAGGAGGTTTATGCAACAATTAAGAAAATCACCAAATCAGCATCAAAGTAAGACAGGAAGAACTCTAACAGAACAATCAGAAGTAAAGAAGAGATGGAAAGAAAACTACGACGAACTATATAATGAACCCAAACCCAAACACGACACAATAGCAAACAGCTCTTCAGATGACCCAGAGCCAAACATACTGAAAGAGGAAATTAAAACTGCAATCAAAAAACTCAGTGGGGATAAGGCACCAGGATTTGATACAGTCACCTCCGAAGAAATCAAAGCAGCTAGAGAAACAGGGACAGACATTTTCATCTCTGCAACCAATATGGGAATCTGAGACTTTCCTGGAGGAATGAGGTAGAGCTAACCCCAATCTACAAAGTAGACTGCGGGAACTACAGAGGTATCAGTCTGCTGTCCCATGCAGGAAAAGTACTAACCATAATCCTACAAAATGGAATTCTCAAAAGAACAGAAGAAATCCTCTCTGAATCCCAGGCAGGATTCAGACTAGGCAGGGCTACGACATATCAAATGTTCACGCTAAGACAAATAGCTGAAAAGTACCTGGAATAAGAAGCCTGTACTGCTGCTTTATTGACTTTTAGAAGGCTTTTGATTCGGTATGGCAGAAGGGCCTGTGGAAGGCAATGGGATGTTTTAGCTATTCTAGCAAGCTGATACGATTGCTACAAGCACTGTATGAACAATCCCAGAGTGCGGTCAGAGTAAATTGAGAGCTGACAGAGTGGTTCAAGACAACCGTTGGAGTCACGCAGGGGTGTGTCATCTCCCCACAACTTTTAAATATACTCCTCGAGCAAGTTATGATCATGGCAATGGATAAATTCCAATTAGGAGCCAAAATTCAAGGAACCTGCATAAACAACCTACGTTTTGCAGATGACATCGTCTTGATAGCCGAGACTCCAGAGGAACTGCAGACACTGGTTAATAAAGTCTACAAGGCAAGCTGTGACCTGGGGCGAAAAATAGCAGAAAACGGCTCAAGTTCAAGTGACATTAAGAACCGTATCAGGAAAGCAGGGGCAGCTTTCCAAAGACTAAATAACATCTGGACATCAATAGGCAAAAGTAGCCACACGAAGATGCAACTGTATCAAACACTTATCCTCTCAATACTGCTTTGTGGGGCAGAATCCTGATCAGTAAGAAAAGAAGATAGCAACAGGCTTTAAGTGTTTGAAATGGCATGCCTCCGTCGCATAATGGGAGTGAAAAGACTAGACAAGATCCGAAACACACACATTAAAAAACCTCTCAACCTCGATCAAGATGTTATGGACAAAGTCTCCACTTAAAGATTCAAATATTTTGGTCACGTGCTAAGAATGAAACCCACAAAATACCCACTCATTGCTGTTGAAGGAAACGTCACAGGAAATCGACCCAGAGGCCGTCCACCCAAAAGATGGCTTGACTGCATCTCAGAGGACTGCAAAGCAACATCCATAACAAGGCTGACAGATCATGCATCAAGACTGGCTGCAGACAGAAATACCTGTCATACCATCACCATACAGAAGCCATCACGAGGCCCTATGCCTGCGTGGACAGCATAAGTCAAGTAAGTCAACGCCCCATTGATTGTATACTGGGTTTTAAGTGGATAACGCCCCCAATGATTGCATTCGTGACTATAAGTATTGGATAACGCCCCCAATGATTGTATACTTGATTATAAGTGAATAACGCCCACAACGATTGTATACTGGACTATAAGTGGATAGGACCTCTAGTGGTAGTATACTTGATTATTAAGAATTTTAATTTCTCTCCTCAATAACTCGACTTTCGAGGCTGCACTGAAACAGGCTTAACCAATAATTTTGTCCCTGAAAAAATGTTGAATAAATCAATAATCACATGTTTGTATGTATCAAAGTATACATTATTGAAAAGCTTGATTATGAATAATTCAAAAATATTATCAATAAATTACTCATGACCGATTTCAGACAATCTGAAATTCTGGTTTCAGAAACCCAGTTGTGCTTTATGTGTTTATAAAGAAAAAGTATCGATTTGTGATGATTCTCTATTGGAAATACTCATCATTTTAAACCGCATATTTTCATCTTTGATATCATATGATGATGAGAGAAGGCTCATGCATGAAAAAGCAAGGACGATTTGTAATTAGTAAGGCACATTGACATTATTTTGTTCAGCTGCCTCGTTCGTTTTCTAGAATAAATTGTCAATGTGCCTAACTAGTTGCAAATTATGCTGCTTATTCATGCAGTCATGTGTGATCCGTATTTCATGATTATGGTCACATAATGAAAGAAGAGAACAAGAGCCCTGAAAAATGTTGATTTTTGTTTTCTTTCAACAATTATTAATTCAAAATTATTTCATGCCTTTTCGGGCTGTCTTAAATTTTATCATGCGTGACATATTGATAAAGTTTTTGATGTCACAAGAAAGAAGAAGATAAAAACAGCTCTGCTATCATCATCAAAAATAATTTGAAATTAATGAATGCATTAACCACTTGGGTTTCCTTTTTTTTCATGTACACCCTGTAATGTGGATAGTATCGTTTATAAAAAAAAATTCTCAAATTAAAACTTCGAACAATGAGGACACAGAAATAGGCTTAAACATGTATAGGTTATTCATGTTGTGTAAAACTTAAATGAATCGTTCTCATATACAAACTAAAGAGATCATGTTTAGTTCACTTTGTAGAGGTGTCGTGCGGGCGCGTTTATTGGGTCTTGCCACTAGATATGTACATATCGTATCCCACTATCATACCCCACTATCGAACCCCACTATACGAAAGTGATTAATTTTGTGGGATGTCGCGTTTATCGTCTCTTCACGATTCAAAATAAAGGTCTTGTGTCTGCGCAGCTGTCTTGACCCGGGAAGCAGACAGTTTCTCGGAGGTCAACTACACACACATGCTTGTACACAACACATGGCGCACGCTAGCCTCCGAACCCTTAACCTGGGTGGCACGATTTGTATGTGGGGTTCAAAACTGTATGTCACATTCAAAACACACCTTTTTGCTTTAGATATGCCCATATCTAAAGACCTTTAAAAAAGGCTTTGCGGTTATCACCTTCTAAATTTGCCTGAAAGGCGTTTGAGAAACCTGATTCTAGCCAAAAATTTGGTCAATAAACGCAACCGTGGTCTAGTAGATTTGACTCTAAATCACAAGGTTAGTGGTACGAGTCCCGCCACGGCACTGATGTCCTTTGGCAAGATATTAATCTACATTTGTCACTCTCCACTCAGGTGCAATAAATTGATTCCCCGAAGAAAACACTCTTTGAATGCTTAACCCTAAAAAGGCCGGGCTATTTGAGGTCTTAGTACGGCCGGGGGGCATTATGGCCCCCCTCCCCCTTATGATCTCCCGCGAAAAGTTTGCACGCATGTCAAGTGAAGTGTATAGAATAATATGATAATTTAAATTTTCTGAAAAATTTACTCATTTGCATATTCATGGTAATTTATGCAAATAAAGTCATAAAAATCACATTTTTAACATAAATCATATATTATTCATATTTAAGCATACTTTTTCACTACATAATTATATTCATTAGACCATTCTGAATAATAATACGGAAAAAAAAAATTGGAAGAGCCAGCTTATTCCTTATGTTATCCCTTGTTTTGATAATTTCTTATGTATTTCATTGTTTTTTTAACTTATGTATTTCATTGTTTTTGTTGTTTTATTTCATTACTTACTACAATTCAACTATTTTTGACTCCCAAAACAACCACCTAAACTTTAAACAAGACCCAATAACCCATGTTTGATCTGTTTTAGGAAAAAATGACTTTTCTATATGTTTTGTACACAAATCACGAAAATGAGCGATTTTCGGGCTGACATGCAAAGACAAAAGGTCACGTGACCTTGTAACCGTAGGTCCGATTTTCAAAAAAAATCTTTTAAAAGTTGCACAAGACTCGAAAGAAAAAAGTCAGCGAGCGGCGGGGCGCCATCCATATGCGTTCCCGAGCAATCGGAAAAATCGTGGAGGGGGGGGGGGGCCATAATGGCCCCCGCCCCCGGCCTTATTAGGGTTAAGGGAAGCTCGGACCGGTAAATATGATGAGGCTACACTGGGTCAACAAAACTTCCTTCTTTTTTTTTTGGTGGGGGGGGGGGGTGTGTTCGATCTTACATCACAACCCTTGCTTCATAATGAAAAACGTTTTGGTTAAAATAATCTATTTCTCTGATCTTAGTAATTTCTTGTAGAGAAAATTTCCATTTAATGTTATTCTCGGTGAGTCTGATGTTGCTTACTCATTTTACGCTAATTGTGGAAAATCAAGATATTATATAACTTAACCGGTTCAGTCTAATCAGTGCTTATCAATTTATAGATAACAAATCCCGTTAGAAGTGCTTGTTTCATGTAACCACGACGACTCATTGAAATTCAAAATGATAACGTCACACTATGTGCTTTATAGATTTGAACCAATCAACATCATTCCCATAACTAAGCCACACCTACTCGATGACGCGCTACCAGGCTTGTGCTAGACGTTGTAGTATTGCATTGCATCGTTTTGTTAAAGCGAAACGATCCCAGCTACAAAATAGCAGCGCCTCGCGAAAGATTTGTCACTTCGTCGGGGCATGAAACCTAAACTCGCATCGCCAAAAAATTGACTCCTAGAGAAAAGAAGTATATTCAAATTTACAAAGTGAAATTTCTAATCTCAGGGGAAAGTTTTCTGCTTGGAGCTAGACGAGCTATTCGCCTGTTTTGTTAGTCTTTGGTTCGAAGAATCTTCTACTGCTTCTTGTTTATCTCTAGACCTGTCATCATGTCAACCAAGTACAGATTATCAATTCTTGCTCTCCTACTGGCGTTTTTCTCTTGCGCAAAAGCTATAGATGAAAAGGTGAGTTTGCCCCCTTCTTAAATTCATATTTAAACATTTCATTTTAATCTGAAAAGAAAATTGCATCTTCACGACATCTTTCTTGAAATGTCTCCTTTATAAGTATTACGATAAAGGAAAGAGTGGTAAACTTTGGCCCCGGACGGTATTCTATAACTTAATTAAACCCAACGTGAGTTTCAAATCACGTTAGACATTGAAAATAGTGTAAACCTGTTAAAATAGACTTTAAACCGGGTTTAAACCCTTCGTTGAGTGGGAACTTAATTAGAATACGGAGCAGTTAATTGCATTGCATCTTTAATATATATGACATTAAGAAGAAGATGAAGAAGAATAAAAAAGGAGCGATTTCATGCAATTTCTGTGGAAGGTTAGATATCTATATACCAAAATGCTACGTAGAAGAGTCTCCTATAGAATCTCATTCGGTAACTTCGATTTCAGTCAATCAAATGGAGAATGTCTCCCCCCCCCCCCCCCACCCCCCAATATGTATGTAGTTCATTTTGAATGATAAATATTCTCTTATTATGAGAAAACTCGGCATTTTAATTGATGATCTCTTTAAAGCTTTTCATGGTGAGTAATAAACAATTGGCAGTTGAAGACTTGAATTAAAGACTTCCCCATCAAGATATTTAAGTTGCAATTCTATCCTCTCGATTGTTATATCATTATGTGCAGGGGCGCACTGGCTAGTGGAAGTAAGTGGATTTTTTTTTTCTCGCACGGGCTTCTTGGTATTTTATTGGCCGTCAATTTTTAATGAGGATCAGTTGATCAATAATCGAACAGGAAGACAAATGTATGCGTATGCACTGAAAAAAAAGTGAACAGTTAAGTAGATTTTCACAAAGCTCATTAGGCACAAGGCACACATTTTTGTTTAAGCTACCTCAAATTTGTTAATGTATATAAAGTTATTGATTCAGAATGCACTAAAGCGAGACAGATCCGATTTTATGTGAGACGGGTTCGATTTGTACGATATTGTGCTGATTTGCATGAGACAGCGCCGATTGTATGAGATTGCGCTTTATTTATTTTGTGAGATGACACTTATTTCTATATTACAATTTATTTTAGCTTAACATTATCATCCGTTTGAATGGTACGCTTCCCGGGAGAAGTTTCAGTTGTTGTAAAGTTTTTGTTTGTGGGGTGGGGGGGGGGGTGGGTGGGCTTGCCCCCGGTAGATCACGTTTTCGATCTAGTAATTGAAAACAAGTCAGTAACAAATCTTCGAACCAGCGGAATTTGAACCTGCCATCTACGAGCACGCGATCTTTATCTACTAGGTGTAAGCCAAAACTTTCTTTACAACAATTATTAACATCCATTGTTAAGCAATCCAGCATTTCAATCGGCGCTATGAAAAGGAAGGTTATGTGCAAATCCATGTCATCCCCCTCTCTGGACCCGCTGGTGAAAATCGTCATATTCACCTCCTGACTGTAGACCTGATAAAAGGTTTATCAACTTTTCTTCCATGCAATTAATGTTTGTTTTCAAACAATCAACCAACAAGTAATACAATACAAACGTTGAATGAAACGATGGTTGAATATCAATCTCAGTTTGCAATTGCATAATTTGTGATAAAATTAAACCAGGGCCCCGTCTTGTAAAATCGTGCGATGGATTTAAATCGATCGCAACTCTTTATAATTCAGAGCCCGTGTTTCATTTCATACATTATCGATAACATGTAATTCACCTGACATGTTGTCAAGAGATAACGGAAACTAACCCGAGATACGTGATTGAATTCACGATTTAAGACACGTGCTGATACATCAAGTCCCAAATAGTTAATGAAAAATGACGATGAATAATAATATTGATCTAATATTCTGCCTTCTTCATAAGATGTGAAGTTAGTTCAGGGGCTGCATTCGTGGCAGATTTTGCTCCCTCATATTTACTGCAAGAGGGAAAAAAGAGTTCAGGGCCCTGATTGTGTTACGATGAGCATGAGACGTTTTTGCATACTAATGAAAATATTCGATCATGTGGTTTAGATGGCATTAATCAAACTTGTGGTGATAAATGCGTTTACAGATGAGATTATATTTATCCAGTGACATTTATATAACTGAACAGTATGTGGCACAAAGTACTTTCGGCCGCTAAACCCTAATGCTTAGATTCTATAGACGAGATAAAAAAAAAAATGAGCAGCGTTTACCATAGTTGTGAGAAGTAAGACGGACAGGGAGAGAGAGAGAGAGAGGTGGTGTGTGTGCGTGTGTGTGTTTGTGTGAGAGATAGAGAGAGAGAGAGGGAGATAGAAAGAGAGAGAGAGAGAGAGGGAGATAGAAAGAGAGAGAGAGAGAGAGAGAGAGGGTAAGTTTAAATAGAAAAAAGATGGGCGAGAATAATGATATGCTATGCCAAAACAATGTGACTTTTTTTAAAGGTGGAGCAGTCTCTAATTGTGTGTCTTTGATGCTTTTAGAATAAACGGCTTATCTGAATTAGAGAATTAGTCAGAAATAACTTTAAACAAATTCGTTAATACGATCATTCCTTTACTAAAGCTGTGTCCCTTCCCCATGTTCATTTGAAGCAGAATGGTCAAACTGTGTCCTCTATGCTCATACTTCAGCAGTGTATCGACGAGTTGAACTCGGCTCGACGGTGTTGGCCTAGAAATTACGTCAAATGCTTATCTCAATCAGGATTTCAGTTGTATTTTGCGGGCTTATTTATAAGCGCGCCAGTTTTCTCAATCAATGTCATAGCACAGAAACCCGTCTAATTGAATATTTAATTCGACAGGTGGCTCGGCAGGTTTAGCTACTCCACGCCTCTTGACCTACATTACATTTAAATAGGGATCGTAGCTATAATGATTGAGGGTGTATTCGTTTAGCAGATTTGAAGAGATAGGTTATTTACTTCCTCTTAAAGTAGTATTAGAAATCGTTTGAAAACTACCGCTGTTTTCAATCAGCAGTGCTCGTAGGGAAGGGTCTTAAACAATCATTAGACGGACAATATTCTCTCTATTTCTCTAAAGCAATCATAATCGTTTTTTGAAGTTCCTTCTGAAGTAAGCAAATGATAATTATTTTGAAAAAGACTGGTCTCTGAACTGGGAAAACCCAAAGCTTCCGCATCGGATGTACACCGTCATTTATAGTTGAAGGGCTATACGTCCATTGTTACATACTTATTTTCTTAATGCAATAATTACACTCATTGCGACCAAACAAATATATGGCAACAATTAGCTGTTACAAATATAAAGAATATATAAGGATATATAAGCATTGTTATGAATTGTATGTATAGCCTAGTACCTTTCACGTTTAATATATCATGTGAAGAAAGAAGGAAAATCAAACGACATAGTTTTTATTCGTTTTCCTTTTCAAGTAGAATTAAATACTCGTCTAAAACGTCTCAAATAGTTTTTGAATCATTCATGACTTGTATGCGACCTACAAACACGACAAATGTTTATTTCATTTTATGACATCATAGCAGTTTGAAATATCAGGGTGTATATCTGTGTAAGACAGTTCATGATTGACGAGGCGGCAGTGAAAAAAGTAATCGATAGATAATATCTAATTGCCTGTTTATGTATGCTTCAAACGATTGAAACGAGTTTGAAAGCACTCTTTCTATCTCCATTTTGATGTACAGCTTATCGGTGATAGAGAAGAAAAAGAGAGGGGGAGAGAGAGAGAGAGAAAGAGAGAGAGAGAAAGAGAGAGAGAGAGAGAGAGAGAGAGGTGTAAAAAGACTTTATTAAATTTTAATCAGACGTAATACACAAGGCCTTCTCATATTGTTCGACGACATTGTTAATGATTCTGACTGAATGTCAATTCTAAAGAAGGATGTATCCCATAAATCGATTGCTTCGTTTGATTTATGAACCATATAACAAAAGTCATGGTGGTAAGAAAAGAGGGAAAAGAGTGGGCGATTCTGCAAGTATATTGTCATATTATGGTAGGTTGTTTATCATGAGATGGTGAAAGCCCCGCTCAATATACAACTGACAAGCGGATATTACCAGGCATTTGAATTGAAAGGTTTTTAGTCTGTGGCCTTTGAAGTTTGATAAAGTGTAAACCTTTGCGAGGAAGACACATTCGCATTTTACCACGCAACCGTGAATAGCAAACATCTCAATTAAAAGCATCAATTGAGTGACAATCATATCATTACTCAATGCTAATGAGACGCTGCACTCGGCTGGAAAGGGCTTTGTTTTATACTGAAAGCTGGTATTCTGCTGGGTGTCTGACGTATACAAAAAATATATCGATCTGGCTTTTTAATGCAATATGAAGCGAGCATATTTTCCTCCCTAAAGCATAATCAGGGTGGAATCTTGAGTGACGGGAACGGGGGGTGTCACGCAGCGCATCGATTTCTACTCAAATATCTCCTATTCCTGTGCAAGTACACATTACCATCTCCTCAGAAAAATCGTATCTTATCAAATATGATTTTGCAAAATTTGTCCGATATTCAAACATAACCTGGCTTGCTGAGGCAGGTTCTCAACTCAGTGAGTTAATAAGCAGACAGATAATCAATGAAACTGATGCGCTTCAAGTCAATTCATCATACAAAACATGGCAGTAAATTAGAGACGTTAAATTCAAACGAAAAAGAAACAGATCGTGGAGGAAAATTGAATTCCCCTGATGAACCTGGTCTTAGGTGTCAGATCCTAGCATGTTATCAAAACATTTATTCGAGTGTGACGTATCATATTTCCTCATGCTCGAAGCATGACCGCTTCCTAATATATTGACTTGAACTCAACGCCATTTTCGGGTTAAAAATACGGTTAGGTGGGAGTGGAACGAAGGTCACACTCATGCATTATTGTAATTATGTTGCTAACATTTACGGGGGTGGGTCGATTTTGTGAAACTCTTACGTACATGTAGGTCATTTATTGATAAATTTTGGAGATGCTCTACTTCTTGCTACTTCCACCCCCCCCCCCCCCAAACAAAAACCCCAAAAAGAGAGGGAAAAAACATGCTTCTAAAAATACCCAATTACCAGTTGCATTCTACAAATTCAATTTCTTTTCATAATGAGCTTATTATATGAACAATCCTCAGTGTCTCACATAATTGATCAGAAAATAAGTAATATCAAAGCTTGCTGAGAATCGTCCAAAACCACAAAAATAAACCCGAAAACAAAAGGACATAATAATTGTACGTGTTCAAGCAGAAACTTAAGTCCTAAATTCGTTATTTTCAGTTCACACTGCAGCCACTTTGTATAGTAAATAAAGATAATAGCAAGATAATCAGTAAGCCAAATTAAAGGAGATTCCGTGAGTTCCCAAAACTAGGGTGATAATTTAACACTGCCTTGATTGTATGACCACACCAACAAGTGTTACAACACATCCATCATATAATTCAACTAAATTCAACTTGATTAAATGTTTCCGTTTCATTATATACATAAAACAAAAACAATAAAATGTCATAATGTGTAATGCCATCTAACTAGAAATAAGGTGTAAAATTCACTCTCTGTTTTTCAGTATAAATTACCCAGCTATACAGACTATTGTAATTAAAAATTGTAAAATATTTATTGAAAGAAAGAGAAAGAATGAGATAGACGGGAATAGAAGATAGACAGAGGGTAAACAAACTAATGGGACCGAGAAAGAGAGAGAGAGAAAGAGAGGATGTGTGTTTTGTGTGTGAATGTGTAAGAGAGAGAAAGAGAGAAAGAGAGAGAGAGAGAGAAAGAAATGTAGAGAGTTCGAAAGAGGGAAATACAGACAGAGAGAAGGGGGATATTATTTTTCAAATAATTTAGCTATGTTGGTGTAACCTTTACAAGTGATGCGGTTTGGAGGACCTGGAGACGGCGCGCCCAATTCTGTTTCGCGTCGCGTATGACATCACCGTGATATTCAAAAATCTCCTAATTTGATTACAGAATCGTAGAATAAACTTGCAAGTTCAATCGCGGCTGCATATTAATAGCATATGCGCTATTTTAAGAGCCTGCACATTGATAAACCCATGCAGAAAAACGTGAAAAGGACGGGTGGTCTTTTCGAATCAATAACGAATGCCAAATAAGGAATGTTAGATACGCACGTTTTCCATTGGGCAATTTTTTTTTTTTTTTTTTTTTTTTAATTGATCAATCTCATCTACCTACTCCGTCACTTTTGACTTTTCCCCCTTTTCGACTTTGCGAAATGAAATTGATTTCATGAAGGGAAATGATTTTAAACGTTTATTTCGACTAACTTGATTTTTTTTTTTATATCAAATAAATCTTATCACGCTTTCGGATTTTATTTGTATGCTACTGTTCATGCCAGGTTATTTTTTTGTGTTTTTTTTTTTCTTCTCGTTTATGCTTGTAGGCAAGCCATTTGAGAGGTGATCCAATCAACATTGCTATGTTACGGAAAAGCGGAGATGATTCAGTAATAGAAGATTTCTATTCAAGAGAACTTGGTAAGTCTATCCAAAAACAAATCAATCAAGTTGACGTTCTAGTCAGTTGATATTTTTTATTGAAATAAGTGCTATTCGATTAGTTGATGGATGAGTACTGGCTTCCGGATGAAATCCAAGCTCTTAATAGTTGTACATTGCCCTTGCCGTATTTTCCTTTATTTTTTTTCATTATTATTATTTTTTTTTTACTGCATATGCGTTTTACTCACGAAGTGTTCTTCAAACTAGCCTTACCAATGCAAGAGAAAGGTTTATACCTTTGAGCTTTTACAATAACACCGCATGTTAAACATTTGAGAAGGGACTTCCAAATAAAGACAATTTGGCTTATGACACAAATGGCAATTTTTTTTTTAATTGCCTTTAATGTGTAAAGATTTACCGTAAGATTTCCATGATCTTCATTTCGAATGATATATTATATCAGTATTGTGGACTAGTATCGTGATAAAGAACCTTTAATAACCAAAATTTAATGTGCCTGTGCATTCAAAACAAAATTGTTGACGTAGCGGTGCATGTAGCACGAAGTGATTTTCTTTTGGAAACGTCGCCAAAATATGTTATAGAAACAAAGTCAGGGAAACAAGAATGCTCTAATGTTTATTTGTAGAATTAAGTTGATTTTTTCCTTCTACATCATTACAGGGTTTGAGAATTGTGGAGAAAGACAAACAAATTTGCTATAAAATGCTCTTGACCTGCTCTTGTGTTGTCATATATGTACTGCCTAGGGAATAAAGCCGTCGCCCAGTAAAATATCAAATTTTTTATATAATGGGGTAGCCTAAAGATATTTTGTACAAAAATACATTTGTGCTGCACTAGATCACTAAGTATTAGTTATTATGAATTCAACTTTCCGTGAAATATAAAACAAGAAAAATCGAAACGTATACATCAACAGATAAGCATGCATGCTTGAGGCAAACAGCGTCATTATCGTTTTTTCCTGTAAAATCTCTTGATATTCACAAACTAATCTTTTCAATAGTTCTAAAGTCTTCCGATTTTGATAGTTTTTTCTTGGTAAGTATTTTAAAACGACAGCTTAACTGCCTGAGTTCAGAGAACATTTTTAAGAGTCAATTGAATAAAAACAAGACAAATCGAAACTTACATTTTCAGTTGATTAGCATGCTTGAGGCCAAGAAAGTTTTAAAAAATAAGCTGTTAGAAAAATTGCAAACGAAAGTTACGAGACTCCATCAAGTGAATTGATTAACAATCTGAAATGGATGCCAATTGAGAAACGTTGTGAATTTCAGCGTGTTAATATGATGTACAAATGCACACATAATTTGGCGCCATCCTATTTACGAGAAAGTTTCGTTAAAGTAAGTGACATTCATCAGTATAATACGAGGCAGGCAGATGAAGGTTTACTTTCTCTGCCAAAGTACGAAACAGAATGCTTTGAACATGACACTTCGTATCTTCAATTATAGCATGGAATAAGTTGGACAGGTCAAGCATGCATGCTTGAGGCAAACAGCGTCATTATCGTTTTCTCTTGTAAAATCTCTTGAAATTCACAAACAACACTTTTCAAAAGTTCAAAAGTCTTCAGATGTTGATAGATATTTCTTAGTGATGATATTAAAACTATGGCTTTACTGCATGAGTTCAGAGAACTGGTGTAAGAGTCAATTAATCACAACAAGACAAATCATAACGATCATTAACAGATAAGCATGCATGCATGCCTGAGGCCAATAGTGACATCATCATTTTTCCTTTGTAAAATCTCTTGAAATTCACAAACAACACTTTTCAAACGTTCAAAAGTCTTCAGATGTTGATAGATATTTCTTAGTGATGATTTTAAAACTATGGCTTCACTGCATGACTTCAGAGAACTGGTGTAAGAGTCAATTAATCACAACACGACAAATCAAATGTTCTTATTTGTACTTTTGAGGGTGTGTGGGGGTGGATGTGGGGATCATTTTGAATTGAATTGAATTGAATTGAAAATTTATTGTCCCTTACGGGAAATTCTTTTTTCACTGGTTTAACAGTCTTTGTACATATATACATAACACAGGAACAATACATAATACAATAATTATCAAATGTACATCGTTACAAACGTAGTTACATTTTGAAAGTGATTGTTGCAATGGAAACGGAACAAAACGAATACATGATTGCAGTATAACATAAACATGGCATTCCAGGTGAAAAATAAATATTAAACATTGCTTTGTTATATACTCTCGCATTCTTCTTCCGAAATTGCGCTATCAGATACATTGCATTCCGTGAGATACTGCTCGACCAGCAGCAGATGGAGGAACAAATCTTCATAGCGTTCCCGTCGAAAAGGGGTGGGGGGCGCGGGGGACACAGATACCCAACACTCCAAATATCTTTGACCGTAGGGTGTGGCAGATGTTTGGTCAAGGTAGCTCATTCTTCTGTAAGGGGAGACCTGAGGAATCATCAGTCTCTTGGAATGCATCTTATTGAGAAGTGAGAAAGTAGAGCAGTACCTGACTTGATGAGCAAAGAATGTCGATGAAGTGAGAAAAGGCCAGAGAAAAGGGTCAGTTGAAGTACTTTCCATTTGATCATCGAGCCTTAATTGTTGGAGCAATTTCAGAGGATAACAGAATGGATTTTTGTATATGAGGAGTAAAATTGGAGATACGCATCAAGAAAAACTAGTTTGATTTATAACGAAGAAAGAAAGGAAAGACGGCAAACTTAACCCAGATAAAATTTTCAAAGAAAAGGGTGTTCATGGGCCTATTACAGTTTAGTGGTTCGTGAGCAGTTGTACGATGTCCCTCTCGTGATAAATGAATTTATTTTTTAAAATAAATTTAACAGTTTAGGCATATAAATACCATTTCTTGTTTTTGACGGCCATACGTTTAAAAATACGTATAAAATGATATGAGTTTTCTAGAAGTAAATGTTATAAAGTCAATAATTATGAACCAAAACCAATGAGAAAGAGTTTACAGTGGTGTATATTCTCTAATATTCTCTTGGAATTTTTAACCTGGGACTTCATCTTGCTCCACCGCTTCACACATCTTATGCAGACAGATTGTTGGACATTTCCGATGGCGCGTTCAGATTCGTTAGCTTAATTTGCGATAACTAAAGTTTTTGTCGATGAAAATTAAAGTTGACATGCCTCGTTGACCGTTAATTGTCTTTCAAAGGATATTCTAGTCACCCTGCACGCCGTGGCATTTCTATGCAAATGCTAGAGTCACAGCAAATAGCTACAGTACCACGGTCACTCGATTCCCCCTATCTCTCCTATTTTCAGCTTGTTATTGTAAATGTAATGTTCATCGGTAATTCCTCGCTCCAGTTGTCTTCACATTTCTGTTTTGTCTCTCCCCTCTGTCTCTCTATCTTACTCTCTGCTTGTTTCTCAAATCCCCTTTCCTGCCTTCTCTTAGGGCCTATCTTAGCTACCTCATGTTGATCTGCCTTTCTGACAATGAATCAATATTGTTTATATTCGCAGTATGATGAAAGAGCAATATATTGTAAATTCTTGCATGTTGATCTTTAGGGGTCAAGGGAATTCTGACGTTAAACGATTCATCCTGATTATTATCTAAGAAGCGATGATTTCTAGAAGTTATTTCAATCTGACGCATATCTTTTTGTATGGCACCAAGGAGGTCCCAACGATTGAAAAGGCATAGAACACTTCATGGTAAAAAGGTCTGACATTTAAAAACCGCGATACGGCAAATATTTCTCAAGATGATGGAATCAGAGTTTCACCCGGGAAAACAATGACATTTAAACACTTGTAAGACCCTCTTTTCTCATATCTGTGCCTCCAGCCTCTACTTGTTTAGACCATGAAAGACGTGATCCTATTTTCGTTTGAACTGGTTGTACTTTGGAGATGTGGTCATACTAGGAAATGACGTAGGCCAAGTTAAATATCTGGTCAAGAGGCATTCAGTCCAGCAGATATACGATATCTTGTTTGTGAAGCAGAAAATCACATATGATTTGAAATTGAATTTCGTATATTCTCATGATAATATCTATGTAAATGAACAAAATGTATTTATAGGTAGAGTTATTATGCCGTCGCTTTGATAGAACTATGACATAATCATCCTCCGTAACCCCAAAATGGAGCCCAGGTTAATTGCAAACCAGGGGTAAATACAAATGAGGAAATGTAATGTGATTGTGCTTTTTTTTACTTTGGGGGTTTATTGTTCCTGTAGTTTTTGTGCATTTCATTTTATTTCCTTTGATCTCGTTTTTTTGTTGGTGTTAATTTTTTTTTTTTTTTTTTTTGGTTTCTGCTGGTTTGTTGGTATGGGCATTAACTACGGGTCAATATTCACAAGTTACAATTATGAATGAGGATTTAGAATAAATATCGTATCTACGTACTTGAACTAGAATTGAGTATTTGTAGAATATAGCATGAGGATGTTTAATATAAGGTATAATATGAGAACGTTGCGGATAAAAATCAATATAAAATAGAACCTGAATCTTTTCCCGTGGGAGTCTATGTTTGACAGAACGTGCATTTCTGATTTTGGTTCGAATCCTTAAACTGCACAAAGTTTGTACTGCTTTGTGTAAAAGCACGCAGAGCGAGCTGCAGGGTATTTATATTTCATTGAAAACCGAGACGGATTTGTTCAAATACACATGGAAGGTAAATCTCTCTCTCTCTTTCTCTCTCCCCTCTCTCTCTCTCTCTCTCCCTCCCTCCCTCCCTCTCTCTCTCTCTAGCTCTCTCTCCCGAAGAAGTAAACTGAAAAGCCGTTTATTGTTTAAAGCAAGTGTAAATCTCTGCATTGTACTGCTCCATGAGAGGAGAGGATATTGAGGAGAAATAAATATTGATTGAAGATAATAATATATATGAAAGGTTTAGAGAAAAGGAACAATGAGAGAAGAGGTATAGGATTGTGGCGAAGACGGTAAACAAAGAAAAAGAATTAGGGTCAATGTAAATAGCTCTATACTTGTGACTTCACATTGCTAATGAGAAGGCACGGGGTCCATTGCACGAAGAAAATAGTATACATGCAAGAGAGTACGGGGATATGAGAGAATAATAATCATATTGCTCCGATTGTCTCATTTTCGCTCGCGTGAACATTGCCAGCTCAAAACACTGACCTCTACCTCCTGGACGGATCATCGCCCATTCCCATTCACTATACGTTACGTACTAAAAGGCTGTATTGTCTGACCGTTCATGAATATTCATGTTTTTTGCTAAACTCGGCAAAATGTTTGCTTTTACTAAATAGAAAAATTACGGTGGGGGGTTAGATGAAATGGACATAATGAAGATAGCAGAAGTGATAATTGATAATTCATGCTTCTTATCCTTCGTGTGCTTGACCTATAACCTTACAATCACTTTGCAGACTAAGCCCAAAGTTCGACTTGTTTCACATGTGTATTATAGGCAATGGCGAGCTTGCAACCTATTTTGAAAAATTACGGTGGGTGAACTTTCAAAAGTCAATGAGACATGAGGGCTCCAATGAAAGAGCTAGTGATAACGTACGTCGTGGTGGATGTACTTTTCGTTTAAACAAAAAATGAATTTTTAACGATTCTTTTAAAAGAAGTCAATAGGCTAACATGTATTGCTGCTGACTCTGACGATAGGGGGCGTTGTGAAATGAGACTAAACGGAGCTATATGATGAGCATGTCTTATGAAACAAATTAGGTTGATAAAAAAAAAAGCGTAATTTTTGTATAAATTGTTACTTTTTATATTCCTTCTGATGTACTAATTCTCTAACATGCAAAAAATCGTGAAGGCGTCACTGTGCGACACCCTCTAACAGTGATTAACAGTCAATTCTCTCAAAGTGTTTGAATTTTTCCTACCATTTTTCCATTAAAAACAGACATAACACAGGCTTTTAAAAATCTGTCAATACTTAAATATCTGGAATGGTATATAAAGCCAATTCAATGCTTTGTGACGATTTACATTCATCTAAAATGTAATTCAATTGTAATAATATAGTTGAGAGAATTAAGGATTCCATCAGATCAGTTTTCCCAATTTGTATCATTAATAATGGTCCGTTTTTGCTCATACTTTCAGGTTATCTTTAATTGTACATCTAGCATTGAAGTCACTACCTTAGCACCACTTTCTCTCATCTGAACAATGGTACTAAGTCCCTTTAATGATAATAATGAATTCTGCAATGTTGATTTACGTTCTTACGACGTTTTCACTTCAAAATCAGCTGCAAGATTTATATGCCGAAAAATATTCAATATAATAATCCGACCTAGAATATTCGCATTCTCCAGTCACATTTTATGACAAAGATTGCATTCTATGACATGTAATGTTTCATTACAAACCAAATGATACGTATTCTACCAATAGCACGACTTTAGGGTTAAGCTCAGTTTAACTTATAAGTCGAGTTTTCTAAGTAGACTTATTGGCCTATCTTGTACTTTCACATTCCAACTTGTTCGATGCTAACGTAAAAGCAGTGAAAACTCTTTTCGCATGGGAGACCAGCTATAGCACTCCAGAAATCGTAGTTCTTATCGGGTTAGCATCCTGTAAGTGTTTTGGGGTGATCTTAAGCTCGAGGCTCTAAAGCCATGCAAGATTCCATTCAATATTTTGACATGTCTGTGATAGTAGCTATTTCCTATTAAAATGATGGCTTTAGATGTACAGAGTGCATCTTTAAAACTATTAGGATTGACGTATTTATGATTGACATTTACACCATTTTCAATAAGACAATTTCTTATTTTGCGGTACCAAAATCTCTATAAAAATATATTGATGTAAAGAAAAGTTAGCTAGTATCCACATGATCTTGGCTTCTCATAAAGTTTTATTTTCACATTATTTTAATCGTTTTCCCCCAAATTGATAATTGGTGGGCTTGGTATACGGGTCAGTGAGTTCATTTACATCTGAGCAATTCCGAGGTCATATTTCGACATGATAAATAAGCGGAAATTTGTCTTTAAATTAAAAATCACTCTTGTTTTATCTACCATATTCACAATCTTTATCGTACACCTTTTTCCCCTCTCTCTTTCTACTCTCTCTCTCTCTTTCTTGCTCTCTCTCTCTCTCTCTCTCGCTCTCTCTTTCTCTCTCTCTCTCTCTCTCCCTCTCTATCTCACACACTCTCTCTCCCTCTCACTCACTCACTCTCTGTCTCTCTCTGTTTCTCTCTCTGCCTCTCTCTCTCTCTTTCTATTTATATCTCTCTGTTTCAATTCAATTTCAATTTCAATTTCAATTTATTTATGTTTCCAACAAACATTACAAATCAAGTATATATATTTACAACAAATGTAGAAATACATAATTGAAAACAGAGGGGTCCACTAAAAAGCAATGCTTGTACAAGTGTGAACACTTCATTTGATACTTAGGAATAATGAGTAATTTAAATTACATCAACAAGTCCGTAACTACAAAAAGAACTACGAAACAGGGACATAAGGGGGACGCCAACAGAGACGAAAACGGGACAAGACAATACTTTACATGTCAATGATAGAATAACACGGTCATTATACAAAGAGCAGAAATGCAAAAAACGAAGTGAGAGATCGGGGGTACAGAAAATAAAACAAAATGATGAGCTGCATGTGGGGTAGAGAAGAAGATGAACATTAGAAAGGAGATGAGCATGAGAAGGCACAATATCAAATCACATTTTGAGTCAGCGAGTAGAGCATGATCTTGTATTCAACAAAAACAACAACATAAAAAAAATATACTTCAAAGAGGTTTATATGATTGTAATAAAAACAATTTCATTTTTTTTTCTTCTTAAAAGTATTAATCGATGGAGCATTTATTATTTCATTACTTAAAGAATTCCAAAACTTGGGAACTTCAACAAAATATATATTAAAAAATATATGAATGTTTTTTGAGCTAAGAGAGGTAAATGAAAATCGTCGGAATGTCTTGTTTGGTAATTATGAACTTAGCTATTTAAAAAAAAAAATTCTTGAAAAACAGATGGCAACATATTATTTTTATAGTTATACATAAATTGGCCTAGTTGAAAAAAAATATAAGTCTTTTTCGTTTAGTATGTTGTTAAGAAAAATAAAGAGTCTGTATGGGAGCGAAAGGGAGAATTACAAATAATGCGAATGATCTTCTTTTGTAATAACAACACTTTATTTAACGACGTTTGGTATGTGTTACCCCCAAACTAAGAGACCATAGTTCAAGTATGGGAGTATCAAAGAACTATTAAGCATAATTAATAAATAATACCAATATTTCGAGAATTAATATTACAATTATTGTCGATATGATTTTTCCACGAAAACTTTTGGTCAACCGTAACACCGTAAAATGTATTAAATGAAACACACTCCAGTGGGTTATTTTCAAAGACTATGTTTGCTGGCAATGAATCCATACATGCCAACTGTTCAGATTAAAGAGGAACATTCCTCTTTTTGGGAGAAGATAATTATCATTTTAATGCAGGTGTTCCTCTTCCTGTACAAATTTGTCTGTAGTATTGAATAGGAGAGTTAGGATTGTTCCTCTTTTTTTTTAAATAGCATAATTTGTACAGATTTCTGATTTTCAAATGTTGGCATGTATGTGAATCTATAGATTTACTAAATAATATATACTTTGTTTTCTGGAGATTCAAAGATGATTTCTTCGCTCTAATCCACAATGAAATATTACACATTTCAATATTAATTATTTCAACTAATCTATGAGAGTCTTTGTGAGACAAAATAAATTTGTGTCATCAGCAGAAAATACGAAAGACAAAATATAATATGACCGACAAAAGTCATGAATATATAGAATATATACGAGTGGACCTAATATGCTGCCTTGTGGAACACCATCATTTATATTACGAAGATCTGCGGAGTTGTCGTTTAAAAATACACACTGCTTTGTATCCGAAAGTTCCTGAACCACTACCTTAATCCCCCTTTCTCGTCGTTCTCTTGTTTCTCCTTTCACAGTATGTCGAGTCGATATGATCGGGTTACGTGGAGAGTACTACTTCAATTCCAGTCCTTCAGATGCCCAGACAGTTTGTGCTACCTACCTCCTTGGTGAATCCAATGATCTCGTCGAGATCGAGTTCACTCAATTTAACGTAGACTGTAATGATCCAGCCAATATACTTCAGGTAACAGGCACCAGATTTGTTTAAATTTTGTTTTATCCTTCTCACAGGTAGCACTTGTGAATCAACAAGGAACCGTGAACTTAAGTCTCATGAATTACAAGTTGAAATTTAAGCCATAATATGTTATAGTGTATGTTCTATATTTTTTCTTTTTAAGGTGAGGGGATATATGGTAATACAATTTTTTATTTTTTTTTATTCATCTTGAATGTTTTGCTACATGCATTATACCATTAAATAAGCTTTGGTAGAATGGATGCAATTCAGTGTCGACGAACTTACATAAGTGTATCCATACTTATATTCTCAGCTGCAGTTATGTCATATCATTTCTTCTTTGTTCGCCATAGAACGGCAAATCTAAAAGATTGGTAATTATGAAGGAAAACAATTGAAGAGTCTGTATCGTTTTAAATGCGAGTTGGTCTAGCGGCACGTTCACTTGGTCAGCTTTCTATCATCGCCTACAAACTGGCTCAGGCGACCAAGGTTCGAAACTGAGTCAAGTGTTTCGGATGGTGACGTTAAAGGTCGATCCCCGGACGTAAATAATCATATCTGATTCATACATTGTAAATGTTAATCATTGATGACAACTCATCTCATTTGATCCTTTTCTTTGCCAATAGTTTTTTGACGGTTGGACTATGGGAGTGGGCCAGTTTCCAGGGGATGATGATCACCCGCTCCCGATCACTGAACGTGTCATCAACGTATGTGATCAGAGACAGAGGGTCTACAGGTCCCACCAGAACGGAGCCATGATCACATTTAGACTCGGCCAACCCAATGCCAGCTTTAGAATCGCATTTAGGCTCATTAACAACCCAGAACGTGAGTTCATCTATTTTGCCCCGACCCCCAACATAAAAAAATCCTCTATGTGGGCATTCCTTGGACTATAATGTATAGCCCTACGGAGGGATTTTTCCTGTTGGGGACTGGGGGGAATGCAATGAATTATTGATAATTAAATGCATTTTCTTTGTTTTTTGGTTTTTGTGGGGGCGTCGACGTACCCTAGCCCCCGTTGCGTACATTCATGATTCATTGGCTAAGCAATAGCCTCGTTACTGTGAGCCCCCAGGATCAAAACCGTGTCGATGTGCTATATTAGTGCCCTTTTATGAGGCATTAATCCTCATTACTGTCAGTTATGACTTAAGGACGTAGGTCCCCTAGTTGATTAGCATAGTAGCACACACAAAACAAACACTCACCTCATTCAATAAAATCTGAGAATGTATACTATTATCTAGATCTATTAGGAATAAATCATTGTCAAAATCAGTCAATAAATTGGGGTAAAAATAATTATTATTATTACACCATTATGACAAAACAGTGTATTATATAATCGTTAAGGACAAGGTTACTACATACTCTGTCTAACTTGCACTACTCTTTCTGTCCACTGAAAATCATAAAATGATCGCATAGTTGGCTAGCACAGGCATATATGTAGATTTTATTTTGCGCCTTGCTCAATCATGTACTTTGTAAGTGTGTGGGGAGATGACTGTGTGGGTGCGAGAATGAGGGTTTTAATTGAATTACGACGTTTTCTTGCGATATTTTTGATTTGGAGATGACAAGTGGCAGAGTGGGTCTGTACATTTTCCCTAATTATGACGCAGTAGACGTATACCACAGTCCAGTCGTTAATGAGTGTTAACCAGCTGTTATGTTCTGCGAAGGAAGGGTCCATATCGTAACAACCGAAGTATGACTCGAGCTGAGGGATGCCACATCGTACTCTAAAATGACACGAATACAGATACACTCTCAGAATTGCTAATTTTTTCGCACTGGGGCCCAATTTCAACAGGAAAGTTGCCAATCTGACCTTCTCGCGGTCGTTATTAAATTAAATGGTTGGATGCAAAGTGCTTTCGATCTTAAACACCCGCGAAATGCGTTGCTATGACTTCTTACCCATCCGGAAAATAAAGGGTTGGGTGTATAGACAAGGGGGGAACGAAAAATAAATCAGTATTGATTGCACAACAAGATAGAAAACATAATACAAAGGTTAAGTGTTTTATCTCTTGACGTCATTTCAGGAACATAACTTTAATGAGACTTGACACTTACTACGATCATTTACTTAGAAAACAACCAATTAGCACGAATATGTACAAACTTTTGATATTAGATATGACTTGTTACTTCTTAAGAACAAAAAGAAGAGTAGTATAAACTTGTTTAAAACGAAAGTCCGTTAAAGTGATTATTCTCTCTAGACACTAAATATGTATGCAAACGAGGGGTGCTACACCCACACTCTGTCTGTGCTGACTCTTTGTAGATGGCTTTCTTGCCCAATTTTCACTGCATGTATGTTCCCGAATTAAAATAATAACTAGCTGAAGCGTTATGCACTTTCCTGTTTTCACAAAAATACATCCCTTCCCTTGAAGACACCGAACACCTTTAAGACAGCGTCTACGAATCGATCTCAAACGAGCCCCGTGTTGGTGCACGTGACTTAGCATCTCTCAATTCGAAGTTCCAACCTACCAATGATGAGAGTCATGACGATGATAACATGTTACCACAGGGCTCATAGACCGTGACATCCGGAGCTGACTCTGTTTCTATTTCCCATCTCTCTTAAGCAGTCCTTTCGAAGGAAAATCAATAGTGCACGTATGGCGACACTGTAAGCGTGAATTGATTTGGAAGTTGATTAGGGAATGAGTTGTCACATTACAGTTCAATTGTTTCTACTTTATGTCTAGCCCAATGTAAACTCTTTTGACCCTTCTCCCCTTACCTCACTCGTTTCATGGAGCAGCTTCCATTCACCTTTGTCCCATTATTTGTTAATGCTTATCGAAAACTTATGTTACTTAAACCGGAAATATGTGATAAATTAATGCAAATGGAATTTATTACATTTTAGGCCTGAAGTAAAGTCTTGAGATGGCTTATTTTGGTTTTAAAGAAGGTTCCATCCCAACTACGTGTTTTTTTAACAGTAACAGAATATACTCCTTTATCTTTCCTCCAAATGAGTCTTTTATAATCCATTTCAACAGTTTCGAAGAGGTTAGGCTTTATCCAAATATGATGATTATTTACAATACACTCGTGTCAATGAAGATAAATTAATTGATCGATGCTGTCATATCTACATTAGATTTATCTCCACAGCATTTATTTTTTTTTTAATATTTTATTTTTAAAACATGCATTTGACTCAGTTTGCTTCTCTTGTGTAGAACAAGTATTATGTCATTTCTCTATTAAATTTCTGTCACTTCTTTGATAAGTCTTTGGTTTTTCCATGCTATATTTTGCCATCCTTTGATGAAATTCAGGCAAAAAAAAATAGGTTCCGAATTTCAATCGAAACGAAAGTTGTTGAAAGGCAAAAGTGTCACATTGTGTAGGCGACGACATTTACTCCACGGTCGAAACGATTTCCATTTCTCAGCTTAAACCCTGGACTAGGTATTATACTGTACATCATCCTTTCATCATCGCTGAAACTAAGCTGACTCCTATAGTTGCCACTCAAACGGAAGGATGGGAGAAATGGCTCCATTAATCAAACCTAGATCCTGCGTTGGATTAAGCTTGAAAATAAATACGAGCGGTTTGATTTCAACGAGGGAAGAAGCTTCTTCTTCTTTATTTCTTTTTTAAAGGCACTATTTCCCATTTGCAGCCAACATCAAATTATGTAGAACTTTGCAGGAATTATGCATTTGTCTCGTATGTCCTATCTGTGAAATTTAAACGTTAGCAGTGTCCTAATATTCAAATTATGCAAGGAAACTCGTTTAATTTCTAGACTTCACTGGCAGACACTGTTGAGTAACTGACTGACTTGTTTTTTCCTATGGTAATAACATACATAAAAAGAGCTGTAAAAAGTACATGAGCATTTGTCTACATCATGATCACTCACCCAATTCCTGTAATGGCCAACATTAAATTGATTAAATCTCTGCGCAGCACAAAACGTACGACCATTCGGTACAATGGTCTGAAAATCACTACATGGATTGCAACAGCTAAAGTCGATTCGACAACTAATGGTCGTAATTTTTCCACTTAATGACATTTTCAAGCTCTTTCGTTTTGAGAGAAGTTCTAAATTAGTATTATCTTTGAAATACTGTTGGAAAATAACCTTTTAATTTTTTGGCCTGCAGATGGGAAATACAGTGTAGTCCCTTTAAAATGAGACGGTGCTTGTTTCTTTGATCCACCAATCACTGTCTTAGCAACGATGCTTAATTTTTAGATAAATATAATATGGCCTGACAAAAAGACATTCCTCTTTTGATTGATTGCGAAAAATATGATATAGCCTACCTTAGCCATGTTAGCCCAAGGTGGTCTACGATCAACCAACCATTTGACATGAGCGCAATCTAACCATTCTCAACAAAGCTCCTTTTACAATTATATTCTTGTAAATTTGTAACTTTCTTGCTAATATTTAAAAGGAGATGCGGAGACGGTAAAGCGTAGATGATGGTTATCATCATAATAAGGACTCCTGTACTTCTGAAGTTTGCATTCTGAAGCAGTCAGTATATACTTTTAGAGTTTGGCGTGGGTATTAGCCAACGAAAATATACATGGAATTGTTGAAAGACAGATAGAGAGAGAAAGAGAATCACATTAATTCGAAATGTAAGAACGCAATACTACGAAGAGAAACATTCTAAAATTTATTACACCATCCCGGTAAACGTATAGGAATTATAACTAAATAAATTACTCCTGCTGATGATATGTCCCATTATTTCTTCTTTCCCTCGTCCTGATACAAATACAAATTGAAGTAAACATGTCAATGATAAAAAGTGCACCTCAGAAAAATATTTAGGCTAATATACACACATGTAAATTAAATGTACAGAGAGAAAATGAAAGTATGAATACATAGAGGTAGAGATCTGAAAAGAAAATATCCTAGATTATCGTAAAGGTCAGGAGGTTTTTCAACTGTAATATGAAGACGGCTAGATTAATATTGTTCCGCTTAGATATTACTGGCTCCGGCGAATCATTGTCCTTTCTTTTATCACCGTAACCTCTTAGTAGATCTGGTTTATATCATGCTTTATCGTCTCGGTTTACATGTTCAATTGTCGTAATGGAAAAAGGGTTGAAATATGTTGACGCGTGCATGCAGGTCACTTCAGAAATGAAAGACTAGAAAGTAATATGGCGACTTATTCTTATCAACAGTGTTTCATGCACTGCAACGAATGGCGACTTCCCACGACAAAGTCACGGCAGCTGTGCAGATGGCGTGTCAACTTTCATCAGTAATCCTCCTGAATTTCGAACTTCCCTGTAGCATACTGCCCTGTCAAACTGATGCGCTTAAAACAGCATTATCTACCAGGCTTAGTCGGATAAAAATCTAATTCTCCTTTATTTTGATGTAATCAACATGAAAATGTAGTGAGCCTACACAAATAGATGCGGATCAGACATTCATCTACTCTCTCCCTTTTTTCTCTCCCTTTCTCTAGCTTAGAGCTTTCTATAATATGTCCTTATTCCTTTATCATCCTTTTTTACGCCTCTACTTCTCTCTGTTTCTCTTTTCTTATCGGCTTCTTAAAGGTTTCCCTTATTATTTTCTCCTTTTACCGCCCCTCTCTCTGTCCCTTCCCACCCTCTCACTCACCCTCTCTCTCTCTCTCTCTCTCTCTTTCTCTCTTTCTCTCTCCCTTTCCTTATCTTTCGATCTCTCGCAAACTACTCATCTTACATATACATCTTAAATAACCTAGACAAAATTTACAGCAAAAACAAAAAATATCAATTTGATTGGCGGGAGGTATCAGAGTGTTCAACTGTAGGGAGTTCGATTACATGTTTATTGCATATTTCACGATGGAGGATAACATTTCACCTCAATAAATTATTGATTAAACGATAACAAAAAGTTACGATTCTAAAGATAACTGTGTGCATAAAGTTCGCATTTGCACTTTTGAATGAATGCTAGATAGAAGCAGAAACGAGAGGAATTGGTCAGTGAAAATGAATAGATTCCGATTAAAAATAAGAAATTATGAAATTTTAAAGCTGCGATCAATCAAACACGAATTGGCATCACTGAGACGTACAGTATCTTGCAAAGTTCACTCCAATTTTCTCTTTAATAAAATCAACAAATAAATCATAACATTTCATTTTCTTCATTCAGGGGTTGTATAAAACATATTTGCAATAATTACATGTCAGGTGTATGTATGTTTGGAAAAAGAATTGAGGACAAATAAACATTTCTGTTCTTTTTAGAACAAATGGGAGGGGATCTTAATAAAGTTGCCATTTTGTGTTTGATTGATCACATGTTAAAAAAATCGTACATTTTCTATTTTTTTATCGGAATTTTCTCAAACTTTCACTGATCCGTTCCTTTCATTTTTCTGATTATATATAAACCAACTGGATATCGGAGTGGAATTCCTCTTCGAGTTGGGATCATATTACATCGAGTAATATAGCATTTATTTAAGATTGCAAATGTATAATTCATGCACAGAGTTATATCTGTAAAAAAGTACAATTTTTTGTCGTTAAATAAATAAAATAAAGTGAATTTTTATCCTCTGTACGGTGAATTGTAAAACATGTAATCGAACTCCCTATATACAATTTAGCACTCTGAGACCTCCCGCCAATCAAACAGATATTTTCCGTTTTTGTACCAAATCGACTTAATATCAGGGTCGACTTCCCCTTTAAATGGCAGAATGGTCTTTTTTGCCCCCACAAGGCGATGGATGATAAGTGATCGTGTACCATTCCTTGCCTTGTGGGTTTGTTGAGACAGGTTTGATTAGTTTACTCATTCGCTACTGACCACGGGGTACAACAATCGGTTAGTTTTTGGATGGGGAAATCTAAATCTGAGTCATATATAGGGATACATTGTGAATCGTTTGTTAGTTTGTTGTGATACGAATCTATCAAACGGTGATATCAATCAAAATACAAGATTTTCCATGCAATCTCTAATATGTTTGCGATGTCTCCTAAGTCGTATTATTATTATTATTATTTAAAATTGATTTGGCTACTGATTAGAGATGATAATTCGAAGATTATTAATCCTTGAAGTTTGGTAAGAGCGTTTGTTTCGTCTAAAATAAGCGCAATGTTCATTTCACGTTTCTTGTTGATGCTTATTACATATTTAGATTAAACGTAATTTTCATTTCATTTGTTTTGTAAAGCGCTTTAATAGAAACTGTATATGTATACTAGCGCTGTTTAAATCTTAAATATTATTTATTATTATTAGAACGGCTGTAAAATATAGTTTCCATTCTTCAATGAGCTGAAGTACTTACAGCGCTATGCGATCTTAATACTCTACAGATTACTTTCACTTCATTAAGTAGTGAAAACATAGATACCAATACATGTTTTGACCGTGTTTTGGGGAACCAATTTTTCATTTTTCTAAGTTTTTTTTTTTTTTTAATTCACAGCTTGTAATGTGATAGCCCCAGAGCCAACTGGTGCCCACACCCTACGTAACTTCGGCTACGAGAGAAACTGCTCTTTCTCTATCATCTACCCGACGGATGTCACCATCATGGAGATGTCTATTGGAAGCGAGGAGAACGATGGCACCAGACTGAGGGTAAGAAGTCTTGTAGAATGGGGCATCAGAGCTCTGTTTCATGAAACTTGATATTAATAACAAGTTACAAGTTACTGTTATAAGCTACTGAAATCACGGCATCTGATTGGCTGAGAGCAAATTTGTCATAGAAATTTAGCATTTGTTATAGATAACAAGTTTTATGAAACGTGCCACTGAAGTGTTGTCTGTTGAAGATGAGGGTTGTGAGCTGCCTCTAGGAAGGAGGCCAGAAGACTGATGGCACTAGACCTGAGGGTTGTGGAATGATCAGTATTGTGTTGTCCGTTGATGGTGAGAGATTAAGATGACTGTTGGAAACCGGAAGTAAGATGGTACCTCATAACGGTAAGAAGCCTTGCAGAACGGTCAGTCGTGTGCCGTCAGTGGATAATGAGAGGTGTCAATAAGAAGCGATGGACAACCCTGTGTTGTCTGTTAAAGGTGAGAGATATGAAACGTCGGTTGGATGATGTAAGACTTAGGGCGTGTTCATGCTTCACTTTTTCTGGCCAGAATCAGGCATCTGTTACGCGTTTAGTTTAAAACACGGTTGCGTTCATGCTTACTTTTGTAGAATCACCGAAAAACGGCGATCACGATCGCCGATCGTAAACTCACAAAAAGATGCGTTTACAATTTGTAAACGCGTTTAAATGGGGTCAACGCACTGACCTCTAGTGGGTCTACGTAGCATGCACAGTGAAGGTTTGCGAATCCAGCTGGAAGACCAATTAAGGCCACACACGGAGAATTGCCTCGATGAGCCAGAGAAGTAAGCATGAACAGTACGCCGTGGAACTGCGATCACGATGAGCGTTTACGATGAGCGTTTCAGATCGCTCATTCTACCTTCAAAATCAAGCATGAACGCGCCCTAGAACGCTTGCAGAATGGTCAGTATTGTGTCATCTGTTGATGGTGCCTGAATAGTGAAAGAGCTAGGTGTTGGTAGCAGATCGGGAGAACGTTGATACTAAACCGAGGGTTGTAAAGAACATTTTGCAGATTGGTCAATTTATATTTTTGATGGTGGGGAAATGTGAGTAGTTTCAGAGAAGAAACTTAATCCATCCACTGATTCCACTCGGATGAAAATTTCCTGCAAATTTTTTGGAATATTTTTTATTCTCAACTTTCTAACTTAGCTGTTTTTCTGGGACGTACTCTTATTCGAGTGAATTAACGTAATTCCAAGATATAAACATACATTCCTTCGTTTCAAAAGGTTAAAGGGATAGTTGAGTTCTGTTTTCAGACCGCAAATGCCTTCAGAGTGCATGGTTATTGCTCTTATTCTTATTTATGACATTTCTAGTGCCCTTTTAGAACCTAAAATTGCTATGAATGTGATTTTAGACCCCAAAATGTGTGAAATTTAGCCAATAAGATCATACCAATTCAGCTGAAGAATTGGAGACCGATCACATTGCTGAATAGTGATTATAAAATCATTGCAACAGTGCTTGCGAAACGTGTTCAAAAAGTAATTGGTAAAATTATTCATGAAAACCAGTCGGGTTTCATAAGAGGTCGTCTAGCCGCTTGCAATGTAAGACTTACTAAAGATTTTATCGAATACATGACGAGGAACGGTAAAAATGGTGCTCTTATGATGGTAGATTTTTCTAAAGCCTTTGATGTAATTGATGTAACTTTTATCAAAAAATGTCTGAGTAAATTTAATTTTGGGCCTGTTTTCCAGAAGTGGGTGACAATTTTATACACAAATATTGCAAGTTCTGTAATTGTAAATAGTTGGTTATCTGAAACGTTTAATGTTCTGAGAGGAATACGCCAAGGGTGTCCCCTCTTGGCCTTGTTGTTTGTAATGGCCGCAGAGTTAATGGCAAATAAACGATGGTCGTTATCTTGTTTTGGCTTACATTGGACAGATGAGCCAGTAAAATACTTAGGACATCATATCGCACCTGATCTGCAGTGTGCTTTAAAGATAGATTGGCAAAATAAATGAGAAAAAATGCAAAAACTGCTAGATAACTGGAGAAAAAGAAACCTGACTTTGTTTGGAAGACTGACTATTCTTAAATCACTTGCAATTAGTCAAGTTATACATTTAATGATTGTTGATACAATACCGTCTACTTTTTTGATAAAACTTAATAGCCTGATATTTAAATTTCTTTGGAAAAGTAAAATTGAAAAGGTAAAACGATGTATTGTTACTGAGGATTATTGTGAAGGAGGAATACGAATGATCGATGTTAAAAGGCAAATGTTTAGTTTTAGGCTGAAGTGGCTTGGGATGTTTTTAGATAATACAAAAGGAAATTGGAAAGACATGTGTAAGCATTGGTTTGACTGTTTGGGAGGGCTGCATCTACTGCTAAATTGCAATTATACTGATTATACTTTAAATCTCTTAAAACTAAGAAATGTCCCACATTTTTACATAGAAATCTTACATGCATGGTACTTCATAAAAAAATACACATCAGCTGAATGTCAGACACAGAAACATGTCGACCAAAATATTTTATGGTATAATCAAGATATTGTTTTTGAAAAGAAAATGTTATTTTATGAAGACTGGTATAAAAGTGGTATTATATACTTAAATGATATCTTTAAAAATTGTAATTTTGTTTCAGTAAATGAATTATTTATCCGCCTTAAAACTAGAAGAAGTAAACAATTTTTGATTTTTGACTATACAAAGCTACAAAAATCAATTCCAAAAATTTGGTAAAATGATAAGCATAGGGCACCTTTGGGTTTCAAAGACCATAATTTATCTATCCCCCACTTTGTATTTGGAAAATCAGTTAAGCCTGTTAGTCTTTTGAGTAGTAAACAGTGGTATAATATGATAAGTTTTGAACAAATTAAAATATAAATGTTGTTTGTATTGGGAAGATGTCTTGCAGAAGGGCGTTAAATGGTCCTCTATTTTTAATAGGAATTTGATAGGGATTAAAGAATTTCGTCTACGTGAATTTAATTTCAAGCTTTTATATAATATGCTACCAATTTGTAAAAATCTGTTCAAGTGGGTTCTTTCATACGATGACCTTTGTTTAAAATGCAAAAAGACTGAAGATGTGCTTCATGCCTTCATTTCATGTAAGGCAAATGAAACCTTCTTTGAATATTTAAAGGACTTAGCTTTACGTGCTTTCAATCTTTAAAAATAGAGATAGATATTGTTTTATTACTCAAAATGAATTCGCAAACCGAAATCGATTTGATAATGACGATTGCTTTTTGGTCGATTTATAAAATGATTATTTTTCGTAATAAGTATGGGTATGATAATAGGGATTTGAGTTTGCTTTATTTATTTAAGAGAGAAATGACTAACAGAATAGAAATAAACGAACATTTGAAAGTACAAAATATGAAATTTCCTGCAAACTTGCTTAGTTATATTTGAATAAATAATGTGTGTATTATTGATTTGCTAAATTGTAAGCAAAATTATGTTATTGTTTTGAATATTGAATAAACACCTCTAAGAGGCAAAGAGAAAAAACTACTACTACTACTACTACTACTACTACTACTACCACCACTACCACTACCACTACTACTACTACTACTACTACTACTACTACAAATACTACTAACTATCATTTTTATAACTGAATGTCTTACTATGTGTCGTGTGTTAGTGCCACGATGGACTGGACTACGTGGAATTGATGGAAGGGAACTCCCTGAACATGGATACCATGAGGAGTGAGACAAGCTTGTGTGGTCAGGTGGGAAACATAGTCAGGCAACACGGCGACGGTAATCCGCTCAATCCTAACAACCAGATCGTGCCCGGATCACCACTGTGTGACGCAAGTGAGGATATTAAATCATTTTTGTTATCATAAAGATCAGGGGAGTTTTTCACAAAGACTAAGATCGACTTTAAATTGGACTTAACTATGACAGGCCGTTCATGCCACTGTTTGCTCTCATCATTTAATGGCATTGGTCTCTCAAGGGAATGACAAAATGTTATCTAAAGATCAAACTGGAGAGAGCAAACAGTGGCATGAACGACCTGCCATACCATAGTTAAGTCCAACTAAAAGTCGATCTTGGTTTTTGTGAAACACCCCCCCCCCCCCCTCCCCCTGATTGATCATATTTGACGTGATGTCACATGATGTCTAGGGGATGTCTAAGAAGGCTAGGCCTGGAGGGAACATAGATCAAACTGCAAGATATGATATTGATTTTTGTTTTTTTATGCCTGGCAGAATGGCGCGAAAGGATATGCATTCAACGGAGTCACATTTATATGTAAAGGATGCATAGTTTTAATCGTTGTATGACTGAAACTTCCAAACACATTTAAGTCTGTGTAAAACTCGTCAAAATTATTATATTATTTCTTCAAAAAAATCAAAATCGAATGGTTTAAAAATGTTCGAACACTTCTACCCGACACCACACGATTTCCTGGCTGTTTTTTCTTTATTTCAAATTATGTGGCAAGATTAATGGCAACCGTTCCTAATTTTATGCATTTATATACTTTCGCCTAATTTTTGCAATGTTTTAATATGGTTTGCAACTCCTATACAGGTACACCCTGCAGTAAAATAACATTTATTTATTTATTTATTTATTTATTTATTTCATATTTCATTATCTCTCAGGATCTGTCAGCATGCCTCTGATGTGTCATAACTCCGTAGTACGTCTGGTTTCGAGTAATCAATATGAAAACCACGTCAGCTTTCGATTCAACCAGATGCCCATCACCAGGAGCGCGTGCCCTGAAGAAGAAGTTGTTTAAGCTATCGTCTTTTTGACAAAGTAAGCCTTACTTAAAAAACTTGGCCCTCTCGCCTAAAAGTTGCCTTTTTACTGATGATATTTTATTTCTTTCTTCTTTTTTTATTTTAAGATTTTCAATGCAACTCAAACATTTAATTGCAAGTGAAAATCAAAGACGCGATTCATTTCTAATTTTTTGGTTGAAGAATAAGTTGCGTTCCATATTCGTCAGGTGTCTTTAAACGCAACACTTTATACAAGAGATTCACTTCTGAAGACATGAAAACACGAGGACAGCAAATGTGCAGTCCCAGATGTAGGGATATATTATGCTAGATTTTCTGAAGAGATAAATGTAAGATTCAATATCATCTCTCATCCGGGTCAGCATTACAATTGCAATTTCTTTCCCAATTAAGGCTTTTTTTTTTATTCGTCGCATTATTGGGCATTTTCTCATCATTGTTTACCCGTTATAAAATTCATATAAAATACTGTATCAAAAGATATTTTGTAGTTTTTGTATCGCCTGCGTAGCAAAAAGCGAGACATAGGCGCCGCTTTTCCGGTGACGGCGACGGCGACGGCGGCGTCAACATCAAAAACTTAACCTAAGGTTAAGTTTTTGAATTTTTGATATAATTTTTAAATTATAGGTTTTAGTCAATAAAAATTTGACTATAGGGTAATAAAGTATCCCCAATCATGTGAGTAGAATTTCAGATCACAAAGTCAAGGTTAAAGGTCATTTCAGGTCAACAGACCTGGACTATGTTGTAGCATCATCATCGAAAACTTATTCTAAGGTTAAGTTTTTGAATTTTTGATATAATTTTGAAAGTATAAGTTCTTAGTCAATGAAACTTGGACTATAGAGTTATCAAGTCTCCCCTATCATGTGAGTAGAATTTTAGGTCACTAAGTTAAGGTCAAAGGTCATTTAAGGTCAACAAACTTAGACTTTGTTGTGGCATCAACATCAAGATTTTCAAAATGCTTCTTTTTCTTTATTTTTCAACCGATTTTGATTCTGATTGTTTCATATGATAGGGCTAGGAGGGGGATTTAAAATTTCTACACAGAATCTTGAAATTCATTATCTGTGCTAATTTATGCAAATTTATTCGAAATCACAAAAAAGGCTTCTTCTCCTTCATTTTTTGACCGATTTTGATTTGGTTTGCCTTATCTGGTAGAGCTAAATTTGGAACACTAAACTACTACATAGAATTGTGAGATTTTGCTCCATTGATTATTTATGGTACTTTATGCAAATGAAATGAAATTATGTCCCTTCCAGGGCATCAAATTTTTATTTTTTGACCAGTTCAAAAGTGTACCACATAAAATTTACGATACTTGTTGTTGCGAGATGCGGATGAGCGCTACGTCATTGACGATCTGGTTTATCATATTGAATTGCGTTATGCAGGCGATACCGCAGAGAGCGTTTCCCTTGTTAAGTTTATTTAACAGTTTCAATCAAACATGGTCGTAGCAATTGAGTATATAGATGTGAAATAGATTGCTGAATTCTTTTTTCTCGCAATTTGACACATGTTTTAAATGGATGCAGGGAAACAGAGTCAATTAATTCTGATTTCAGGTCAGTTTAATTGCAAGATACAGTTTTTGCGAGAAAATATTCGGAGCGAGACGACACAACCAATTGAAATTCAATTGATAATGATAATATTCTGTAACACAACCACGTCAGTGTCCCATTTTCCATTACAAGTTTGTATTTTTTAAATGAATTGTCTTACATCATGTTTACTTGCAATATTGACGGAATATGTGCATTTAGAAATAAACCAAATTAAAAAATGAATAGTAAATAAGATCAGATGAAACTCGAGTAGGGTTTGTTCGGACGATGGGACAGGATAGTAAATGAAACATGATTCTCTGGTTCTGCTGATGAAATTATAATTACAACCGAAATTGGAAATTAAATGTAATTAGAAAGAGGGGGTTCTTTTGTGCCGAATTCCTTTCGACACCTTCAGCCTGAAGTGTCTTGAATGCCCTGTGGCCCGGTTCATATTATCAATCCCTAATATTTCTGTTTGGTATACTGTCGCCTGTAGCGTTAACCTAGATTGTACACAAAAATATTCCATTCATTCGAGAACAAATTCAAGGGATATTGTTCAATACAGTTCTCCTATTTCTTGTTTTCATCCAACTCGGGGCTTGTGTTTTAAGATCCGAGGTATGTTAAAAGAAAGAGCAAATAGAATAAAATTCATGATCATGTTTTGTCAGTTGACCATAACAATACTCTTGCTCCTATGCACGTAACGTTTTTGTCATTTTCTTCAAATTGTATGATATACATAATAATATAAATATCTATACGTTTCTCTTTCTTTTTGCTTCTTTATCTCCCTTCTCTGTTTGTCTTTTATCTCTCTCTCTCTCTCTCTCTCTATCTATCTCTATCTATCTCTGTCTTTTCCCCTATTTACCTCTTTCTCCCAAGCCTCTGTTTTTCATTCTTCATTCTCTCTTTCTCTCTCTCTCTCTCTCTCTCTTTCTCTGTCCATCCCCCTATATTTCTCTGAGTCTCTCTTTTTCCTTTCTCTGTATGTATCTCTGCCTGTCTTTCTATTTCTGCCTCTATCTCTCTCTCTCTCTCTCTCTCTGCCTCTCTCTCTCTCTCTTTTTCTCTTTTTTTTTTTCTCTCTCTCTCTCTCTCTCTCTCTCTCTTTTCCTCTCTCTCTCTCTCTCTCTCTCTCTACAGCCCACCAGCGATCCCGAAAGTGTGCAGTCGTGTACGGGTCTTTTGATTCACAGACGTGAGATTTTACCTCAAAGTTTTAAAGTCAAACGGACCGAAAAATATAGTCAATTTAACAAACCTCCCATATAAAAGAATATTCTGAGATACAGGCGTATATTTTTGCTTACTTAACTCACAAATACTGTCATCTCAAGGCCATTGAATTTCTATTTTATTGTAAGTATATTAAGACTTGTTAAATTGTGTTGAGGTTATAGCGATTGTTTTAAGGTCTTAGCGACTTTGAATTTCCCAAACCATTCACACGGCCTTCTTCTGTATGATTAAAAAAAAAACGAGAAATTAAAACTATGTGATATCGACTTCTTCATAAATATATGTGTAATACATTGCTGTTAAAATAGCCAAGGGTATATGGTGTATTTGACATTGGAAATTTAATTCATAAATGAAATGACAGCATTGTTTGAAACAGTTTCATCAATCAATATTTATTCACGATGTACATAATTAGCTGTTCATAATTATGTTGCCACGATAAACCCTTCGAGGTAAAGATTAGAGACAAAGGTCATTAATGTGATTCCGATATGAAAGTATTAATATCCAAAAATATGATCAAATTGAAAGCATGAGATAGTTTGCATATATGATATACTTGGATATTTCTTAAAGATTTCAATAAAATCAACTTCCCAAATGTTAGCTGTAATCGCGTTATTTGCTTGACGTAGCACTGCGTCAACGACTGGTTAGGTCTCTGACGCGCCATGTTAGAATGGTGTCGTATAAGAATAATCGCAACATGAATAGCGCAAACATTGTAATTAATGGCTAGCGTATGGGCTATGGGCAGGCTCAGGTGGTTAAGATAATAATGCTTTGAAATAACACATTATAAGCAACATGCATATCCTTGTTTTTGATCAATATAACATCACGTTTGTACATGTATACAGGTTAAGTCTTTACTTAGCTCCTTCTAGGGGAAATAAACGATATTCATATTGAGTGGAACTTTTATTCCAGCGCACAAAAAGGATAAACGTGATTAAGAGAAAGAGTAAGCCACCAAGTGGGGAAAAATAGAAGTCATATCGAATAAAGTATTGATCATGTTAATTTTGTTTTTCTTGATTTCTGTATTGAATGTAAACAATCTCAAGTAACAATATTCGTGACTCGTGGCTTTTACAGACAACGAACTACCCGCACATAAAATTCCCTATCAGATCTACGTTTCATTGTTAATATCCATACTCAATCAGACCATAGGAATCTATGTATGAATAAATTTCTAGTATTCATTGTGGCAATGTGATTGTATAAATTTGTAAATTATTACATTCAGGCCTAGGGTCTATACTTGTCGGCGTGCAAAGTCGCGATGTTACTGTCTTGTTGCCATGTTGTGATGTATTGCCGTATTAAGTAGCTTGTAGCAACTACTCCGAAAATCTTGATCTAAGGAGACACGAACGAACGAACGAGTAGCATTAAAAATAACTACAGACATTTATATTTACATATAATTTATGGTAAACATTCTCCAGTGTTGCACAAACTAGCAGCCTTTTCACACACAGCTAAAATTCATCGTATCTAGAGATGATTAGAATCACTCAACAGTTTTAAACATGTTTATAGACAAAATTTCCCAGTGTGAACATCGTTTATACGATGTTGGGATAGATACGAAGTCGCGATCCATACGCCCCTAAAAGCAGGCTGCAGATACGAAGTTCGTATCTAGAGAGCTTGACATTTTGTGTGTGAAAGGAAATTCGTGTTTAAACGTTTTTAAACTGGATGGAGCGTGCGCTTTGATTGATATGACATGACCTTCAATGCGCAATGGCACTACTGCGCATTTTACGAGCAGTAGTTAATCACGAAACTATGAACGATCGCAACGAAATTTCTGTGTGAAAGGCTCGTGATTAGTTTAAACACGTTTCAAACACGTTTATACTAATCATGTTTATAGAATTTTAGCTGTGTGTGAAAAGGCTGTAGATCATCACTACACGATAGATAGTAACTTGTGCACTACGTACATGTATTTGTCGTCAGGGGCGGATTTCCCAAAATTTCCCAAATCTCAAATAATCGCTATGCCGCTCGTGTTTGTAATATTCCCTGTGAAATTTATCGGATTCCATTTTTTTTTTTAAACACCTCCTTCTCTCTGTATTTTCATCTGGTCATGTTCTGAAAGATAGCGGTTGAGTCATTTTAAAATTAAATGGGATTGTCACTTAATAGGCCGAAACGATATAGAAGTATTTTCTTAATCGTTGTCTCCTGATCAGGTGGTAGGTATTCAGATAGGTTTAAGTGACCATTCACTTGTAATATTACATTCCACGAAAGGTTAGGATGCATATTTATTCACATATGCTAAAGCTAATTATTGAATTCTACAGGGAATCTTTCGAATATTGTTTGTCATAGTATTATGCATGTAAAATTGCTATATATAATTTATACAATATTTTTAAAATATATATATTTAGTAATTATATAGTAAGACACTTAAGATTCTTGTTCCGTTTTAACTAGAATATAAGAATAATTTAGAAATTAATTTTGTAAGAGGCTAACCGATTTCATAAATTGCTAATGTTGCGCTTAAAAACTGATTGACATGGAAGTGAATCATGTGACATGTGACATTTAAGAATGAGGATGTTATTGGCTCCTTCTTTATTGATTAGCACACACATTGTTCTAAAATATAACATTTTAATATAACTTAATGTGGAATACCATATTTCCCTTTTCTTTTCACGAACATTGTACAGTAAATGCCAACGTGTTTAATGATACATTTATTTTAATTGCAATTCAAATTACAAAATGCACTAAGAAAATGTACCGTATTGTTCAGTTTTTGTTTGTTGTCTTCTTTCTCAAGTGCAGATGTTGAAGAGTATAGAGAGAGGAAGAGAGAAATTGAGAAAGGAGAGTAACCTTCGAGTAACCAAGAAAAAAGATATATATAGAGAGAGAGAGACCGGGAGACACTGAGAGAGAGAGAGAGAGAGAAGAGAGAAAGAGAGAGACGGAGAGAGAGAGAGAGAGAGAGAGAGAGAGAGAGAGAGAGAAATGGGTAGAGAAATTGAAAATACAGGCTGTCGAGTATTCCAAGAAAACATACATCATACATAAAGACATTGAAACAATTGGAGGGACTTAATACAATTGAAACAACATCGAAAAATGTGTACAAATCCCCCCCCCCCCCCTTCTCTCTCTCTCTCTCTCTCTCTCCGTATTGTTCAGTTTGTGTTTGTTGTCTTCATTCTAAAGTGCAGAGTTTGAAGAGTATAGAGAGAGAGAGAGAGAGAGAGAGAGATGGAGAAATGGGATGAGAGAGACATAGAGAGAGAGAGAAAACAAAATAGTTGGAGAAATTATAACATACAGGCTGTCGAGTAACCAGGAAAAAGAGATAGAGAGAGACACACACACATCGAGAGACACAGAGAGGCACAGAGAGGCACATACAGGGAGAGAGCGAGAGAGATGGGTAGAGAAATATATTATACAGGCTGTCGAGTAATTAAGAAAAATCATATATAAAGACAACGAAACAATTGGAGGGACATAATACAATTGAAACATCATAATTATAACGGGAAAATGTGTACAAATCTTTTTTCTCCTTTCTCTCTCCCTCTCTCTCTCTCTCTCTCTCTCTCTCTCTCTTTCTCACACACGCCCACACAATGTGTCGTAAATTAGTCTTGAAAGAGATTAATCGAAGTGAAGAAAGAGTGAGTGAGAGAATGAGGGGGCGGAGGAAGAAAAGAGAAAGGGGGTTGATGGTGGAACAGACATATTTTGGGATGTTTGGGTGAACGTGGAAAAGGCATGCATAGCGGAAAAAATAAGTCTACAACGAAAACACTAACGAAAGAATTAAGAATATCTAAAAAGGAACATACAGTGCGAATAACAAAAATGTGTACCCAACTTTAATTTTGTAGCTCCTAATTAAAAAATTGTAATCAATATGAACTTGAAATTGATTTCAAGACGAAGATTTACTTATTTTCTGTCCAATGATACACTATTCATAATATTTATGGCACTGGTGAATTAGAACCAGGGTCTTTAAAAGTGTTGTCAAAGTCGCCTTGTTCCAAGATTGGAGCCAATATGTGGGTCAGGCCATATACATGTGCTTCTTTGGTCTTAAATCCTTTCAAATGTTACATTGTACCTCGTGCTTCAGTGCTTCATCGTTTGAAATTATACAATGTATCTAGGCTTTCACAGAACCTTGTTTCAATCCACAGGATAACCTTTAACTATCTTAAACAGCCTACTAACTTCTTGTCTCATTATATCTAAGTTCTCTCTGCTCACTTGTCCACTGCGCTATTAAGGAGCATAAGGTGTTTATCCCGAATAGAGAAAGAAAAATCAAAGGTGACTTAACCTAAATACAAGAATGAACACATAGAGGACGGTAAATATCAAAGCAATTGACAGCATATTGTATCACTCAATGAGAATGAAAATCGGCCCTACCGTTACAAAGTCACGTGACCTTTTGTCTTTGCATGTCAGCCAGAAAATCGCTCATTTTCGTGATTTGTGTACAAAACATATGGAAATCTCATTTTTCCGAAAAAGAGATAAAACATCGGTTATTTAGTCATGTTTATAGTTTTGGTGTTTATATTGGGTTTTAAATAGTTGAGTTATAGTTAAAATAAAACAACAAAAACAATAAAATACATAAATAAAAAATAAAAAAATACATAAGAAATTATCAAATCAATAGATAACATAAGGAATAACACCGCTCTTCCAATTTTTTGTGGTAATATTGTTCAAGTTCAAGTTTATTTAAACCAAATCAATCATAAACAATGGTACAAGATATAACAGCAAGGAACACAAGAATGATAGGTTTGGGCCCCAGTGAAGCACAGCTTGTGAACGGGAACACAGCTTCAAAAATGGTCTAAAGAATATATGTAGTGAAAAGTAAAGTATAAATATGAAGAATATATGATTTATGGGTAAAATGTGAATTTTAAGACCTTTTTTGCATAAATTACCATAAATATGCAAATTAGTGAATTTTTCAAAAAAATAATTTACCATAGTATTCTATACACTTCACTTGACATGCGTGCAAATTTTCGCGGCGATCGGCCGTTTCACGGCCGAGATCTTGAGGGGGGCCATAATGCCCCCCCGGCCGTATTGAGACCTCAAATAGCCCGGCCTTATTAGGGTTAAACAATGGACAAGTCAAGATCATAATTATCATAACGAAGAGAATGTCCTAAATTTTGCTTCTAATAAATAAACATTTTCTTCAGTTTGATTTGATATTAACACCTTTTTCAAACTGCCTAATAGTCAATGTCAATAATTGAGCATTCGTTTTTGGAATGAGATAACACATATATAATGGCTTTTGACCCTCATTCATTGCTTCAGCTCAAACTTGGTAGAAGAGGATTTTGACAATACTTTTTGAAAAGCCTGCTGTTCAGTCATCCTTGGCAGCACAATTACGAAGACAGGGTATTAGTCCTTCTTTACGATAAATTATGATTTAAGGTGACATATTATGTTACAACTTTTTGATTAGAAGCTACCAAAGTTTGGTACACTTTGTGTGGATACGCACTGTACAACAGCCTAGCAGTTGATTACCTGAAACAGAAATCCCGTTCTTCTTTCTTTTTCCCCTTTCATTTTTACATTTTTATTTAACGGAACAGGATAATTGAAACATAAAAAAATGAATATAGAAAATAATAAAGACTGAATATGAGAGACAAAATATATGGACACAAAGTATATGCCTTAGTGTAAAATACGCCCCGTTCCCTGTGTAGAGAGGGTAGGATCGGGCCCCGTGTGACCCTTTGTGATAGAGCTAGTGAACCATAGTAGGGGTGTAGGGTTACATGACTTGTGACAACTAGCAGACAACACGATCGATAGTTACCTTGACGACGTTGACAAGGGGGCGGTAGTACCGACGCGTTTTATTGTCAAACACACATGGGTAATTGTTGATTTTATGGTGTCCTGATTGTTGCGGTGTGTGGAGTTTTAACTTAAGTTCCAAGTTTGCTTCGAACGGTGCAATCCACCGATTACATAGGCTTGTGCCTGGGTATACGTATTAAACCATTTGTTTGTCCTGTTGTCAACTACAAGATAAGTCTACTCACAAAATTGTATATCGTAAGGGCCGGACCAGCTTTCGTGTAGCGTATCCCCAACCGTTGATACCAGTGTAGGGTGTACGATTCCACTTGACATTTTGTTTGGTTTTGAAAACTCTTGCCAATTAAGATGGAGGGAAAACAGCAAACGACAAGTCGACCAAGACCCGGTACCTCTGCAAGCAGCACGAGCTCAAAAGAAACATGGATGACTTCAAACAACGTGCACAGGATGGGAAAGGGTGTCCTTCTTTACACCGGTAAGTCTTGCTGATGTTATTGTGGTACGTGTTTAGGATGTTGCCTTTTGTTGGTATACTACTTTCCCTTATATAGTTCCTCATCAATTCACCCTCTTTCATATTATGTATACGTTAGATTATCATTCTCCAAAGAGGAATGGTGTTCAGCTTCGTGGAGTTTTCTACACCAACCCCACTTTACACTCACATATATTCTACATTCCTCATAACCAAATATATGAACACTAAAAACATCGGCTTGATCAAGCATTACATTCCCTCTAGACAGCTACGTTCTCAAAACTCTTGCTTACTTGTTATTCCTAGGGTTGGGTTAACACAAAGTGGGGAGCGAACCTTCGCTCATGCTGGGCCTTCATTATTGAATACTCTCCCTCAATGGATTAAAAATAGCAGTTGTGGTAAAGTGTTAAAAAATAATCTTGAGAAATATCTGTTTAATTTAACCTATAATATTGACTACCATTACCTTCCATGTTCGTACCTTTCCTATTGCACTTTTGTATATATACATCAAGTATTTCATCTTTTGCACAAGCTGCGCCTTGAGCATTTGATTGTCAAGTGGATTTGGCGCCTCTACAAATTATTATTATTATAATTATTAAAAGAATACGCGTACTATCAGTTTGGACTCGAAATGTAATTGACAAAGTCTTGCCGCTCTTCCACTCGTGTTGTAGTGCACTATGCATAAAGTGATAAGTACTAACTTGCTGAAGTATGAAGGAGAATAAGCAGAAGAAGAAGAAGAAGAAGAAGAAGAAGAAGAAGAAGAAGAAGAAGAAGAAGAAGAAGAAGACGATGATTATAATCAGATTTGTGTTCGTGTAATTTGATGGAAGAGACCCATAAATCCATAACTATAAACAGGCATGTACATTTCTTGAGGAAAACAATGTTTAGGGAAGCCTTTTCCGACTGTCAACTTCTTTGGACGCTCTGTGTAACGCTAATCAATCAATGTTGGACTTTTTAGAACATCCGTTGGGAAATTTTAATTCGTTCATGCTGTCGCCGAAAATTGCCGTAGAAGCTCATTAAACAAAACTTCTAAACACGTGTATCGTATAAATGACATGATCTAACAGCATCATTAAACAGAATGTAATGAATAAAATTACCCCTTGCCTAGGCATTGAACTTATTATTTCTGAACATGACAAGGCGAAACGCGTCTTCGTTCCATGCTTGAGGCAAATTGGCATATAATGTTTACATCATCAATAAGACTCTGTTTTCCCAGAAATCTTAAGAGCATCATTACCATTACCCGATTTGTGCAGTTTATGTGAATTTGCCGGGAGCGAGTATGTACTGAATTTATGATATCTGTGTTAACTGCTTAAACGGATTACTTATGATTATTCATGCCCATGGGAAAATAAGCACATTTACAACTTTTTACATTTTTTTACAGCATCTTCTAAATCTTCCTCATTATATTCAATGTACGAGAACATTATCTAAAGTCACGATGCAAGGCCTACATTTTCCAATTTTAAGAACGCAGTACATCATGATTGTGTACGAGGTGGGGACTGGTTGCTGGCGGCTAACAAGAAGACCTCTCTTGAATATTAACTTTCCTGCTTACCTATTTTTTGACACTTTATGCTAAGCGAAAGTTTACTTTTGTCTTTAAAACAATTATATTTGAAAACATATAAAAATAGTAGTATAGTCCCATTTGTACAGCACTTTAATAGTAGCTTTCTAATCGCTTTATATTGTTATTATTATTACTCTGTCATTGGCATCCATGGTTATTCTGCACATGATAGTACACACCCTCTGCCTGGTCACTGAGGAGCACATAATGACCACATCGTTCCCGAATATTAGGAGGAGATGAAAGAGGGTGCTTCAGCCTGCTTTATAACTGTATACACCCCGTACGCCTTTGTCCATCTGTATAACGATTGTCTGAATTTCATTTACTGACTTCTCTCTTTTATTCAGGTCCAGAAGGCAAGAGTCAACAGAGAGTCCTTGTCGAGCCAGAACACCGCGGTGTTGGTATTGGGACCCACTCCAGAGAACAAACATCAGAACTCCTCTACCTCTGCCGTGCCCCTGCAGGAGTCAAGCTTGGTGAACAAATGGCTAAGAAGCCCGGTGCAATAGGGTGGGGGATTCCCCCTAAAGGCGATCCTCGCAAATGGCCAGTCCATATGAAACTACGCAGTGAAGAGGTACGTTGAATATCGTTTAAACCTAATAAACATTTCAGGGGCTTAACAAAATCAATTTCAATAGGTTTTTACGTCAAGAAAGAGATGAATTTATGTTCATTTTATTTCCAAAAGGGGCAAATTTAAGATTTCAATAACTTTGCTTTGAAATTGCCTGTATTTCTTTTAAAGGTGCTGTGTCCCATTTGCAGGCCCAAAAAATGAAAAGTTTAAATTCCAACGGCATTTGAAAGATAATATAGGATTTCCCGGCCAAATTCACGTGTTTGTCATTCGAATTCATTTACTTTGCCTTTAAGTTAGCGCAGATCGGCTTTGTCATGCCAATTATCATTCAATTCGTCCCTGTTTTCACGAAGTGACGGTAGTGAGGAACATCGTAACGCAAAGTGTATGCGATTTTCATTCACTACCGTCACTTCGTGAAAATAGGGACGAATTTTCCAGTTTTTGTATTTAATTTAGGATATTGGTCGAAGGGTTTCATAGATCTGTCATTCAATTTAGAAACTGCTCAACTAGCTAACTTAAATGCAAAGTAAATGAATTTGAATGACAAACTCGCGAATTTGGCCGGGAAATCCTATATTTTTATTCAAGTTAGGAATGTTAGGGGGAAGAATTGCAACAAACTTTTACAGTTTTTAAATAATGCACTTAAAATGTTTGATTTGCCATTGGGGTCTAAGCTGTTATTCCATTTATTTATTTTCAGGACAATGCAGATGGATGTAGTTAGACATAAAGTAAAGAAGGGGCGAAATCCAGGGATATGGCATTTCTGCACGGACATGTTCATATACCCGGGAAAGGTGGGGTTACCCTCAATCGCCCCTTCTTTTACTACAGACTCGGAATTTTACAAAAGTAATTCACATCGTCTCTTATACCCAGCACACCCCTCTGTTTTTCTTAAAGAGTTTCATAGTTTACTTGCCCGCCAGCAGATCGATGGCTAAAGACATGGCTAAATAATAAATCATGTTCAAATTGTTGACTCTAGTCCCTACCCCAGTCACAATATTGTACCCTTGTTCCATAATGAAATTATGATGAAATTATGATAACTTTATGATGAAACATAAGACAAACAACTTCCTTACATGAACATTTACAAATATACTGAGACCATCAGGTCCGTAGATGCAAGTCGTTTTTGTTTTTTCTTAACAATCAAACTTAAATGCTGATGAATATCAAATAAATCTAATAAGTATAAGTGTATAAATGCAAGAAAATGAAATATGATGAAATACACATGAAAAAACAATCTTGAAAGAGAAAGAATGAGCTATAAAAAGTGAGTAATAAACGAGAAATGTATATTGACCATCAATTTAAGTGCACAAAGTGCTATTTTGAATGCTACAAATGAATTAGAATGCTAAAAGTACACCGTCGCGTTGTCAGAAAATCGTGTTGCGCCAAATCGAATGACCAAATAGCGAAAGAAGCACATTGTTCATTAATTTGAATAAAACATACGTAGATTCTAACGAAAATTCCATAGATTTGAAAACTAGAAAAAGGAATATAAACCAGAGATAAACCTGACTGCACTAAAACCGTCGAATTTGAACGCAAGACGAATTAATTTGAATGACAAACTCGCGAATTTGGCTGGAAAATCCTATACTAATTTAGAACTTCCCTTAAAAAAAGGGGGGGGGGCTTGAAAATGTAAAAAGTGGGAAAATAACGACAATTAGTTGTCGAATCGACTTAAGAGCTTTAGAGCCAATTAGTAATAGTCTGATTTTCAGACCATTGTACGGAATGGTCGTACGTTTTATGCTGCGCGAAGATTCAATCAATTTAATTTGGGCCATAGGCATTACAAGAAGTGGGTTATTAATGTATAAAAATGTTCATGTACCCTTTAAAGCTCATTTTATGTATGTTATTACCAAAGAAGAAAAAATGCCAGTCAGTCACTCAATAGTGTCCGACAGTGAAGTTTAGTACGTAAACGGGTTTCCTTGCATAATTTGAATATTAGGACACTGCTAATGTTTAAATTTCACAGATAGAACATAGTCTTACATGACATATTCATAATTCCTGCAAAGTTCTACAGAATTTGATGTTGGCTGCAAAAGGGACATAGAATCTTTAAATCACTGTAGGACAGATAGGAGTACTTTCATATGTATCATATCAAAGTTGTACTTGACGGCTTTGATATACTTGTTGTCTAAGCAAGATCAAGGGCCAAGGAGGCCGGAAATGGCGGAGTTAAGAAGAATAAAAAGTAGACGGGAGAAGAAGGCAAATTCAGTGCGGAGGACATGGTCGTCAATCAGAACAATAGACTTTCATTTGACAAACAGTTTGGTCTGGTTGAAATTTTCAAATGATACAATGACTTGCAATATCTATCGTGAGTAAGATAGTGCTTGGTAGTATAGTAATAACATCAAAACAAATAATTAACTCTCAAGGTTGAAGTGATATGACCTTGTTATTGACGGACTCTTGAAAGAAAATTCATTTTGAAATGAATGTAAAGCTTGCGTGATTATCGTCACCACTTGAAAATCATATTCATCTCTTCGGAAATCTCCATCATGGAGTAATGGTTTCAATGATGCTTCAAACTTTAAAGCATCATTATCTTTATGCTTCAATCTCGTGTGTAGATGTATGATATGTATCTACTTTCATTTCATGAAATCACTCGAGTTATATATATATATCGAAAAGGTAAGTTAGATAGATAGATAGATAACTGGTTTATTAATTCGAATGACAAACTCGCGAATTTGGCCGGGAAATCCTATATTTTTATTCAAGTTAGGAATGTTATAGGGGGAAGAATTGCAACAAACTTTTACAGTTTTTAAATAATGCACTTAAAATGTTTGATTTGCCATTGGGGTCTAAGCTGTTATTCCATTTATTTATTTTCAGGACAATGCCGATGGGTGTAGTTAGACATAAAGTAAAGAAGGGGCGAAATCAAGGGATATGGCATTTCTGCACGGACATGTTCATATACCCGGGAAAGGTGGGGTTACCCTCAATCGCCCCTTTTTTTTTACTACAGACTCGGAATTTTACAAAAGTAATTCACATCGTCTCTTATACCCAGCACACCCCTCTGTTTTTCTTAAAGAGTTTCATAGTTTACTTGCCCGCCAGCAGATCGATGGCTAAAGACATGGCTAAATAATAAATCATGTTCAAATTGTTGACTCTAGTCCCTACCCCAGTCACAATATTGTACCCTTGTTCCATAATGAAATTATGATGAAATTATGATAAATTTATGATGAAACATAAGGCAAACAACTTCCTTACATGAACATTTACAAATATACTGAGACCATCAGGTCCGTAGATGCAAGTCGTTTTTTTTTTCTTCTTAACAATCAAACTTAAATGCTGATGAATATCAAATAAATCTAATAAGTATAAGTGTATAAATGCAAGAAAATGTAATATGATGAAATACACATGAAAAAACAATCTTGAAAGAGAAAGAATGAGCTATAAAAAGTGAGTAATAAACGAGAAATGTATATTGACCATCAATTTAAGTGCACAAAGTGCTAATTTGAATGCTACAAATGAATTAGAATGCTAGAAGTACACCGTCGCGTTGTCAGAAAATCGTGTTGCGCCAAATCGAATGACCAAATAGCGAAAGAAGCACATTGTTCATTAATTTGAATGAAACATACGTAGATTCTAACGAAAATTCCGAAAAAGTTCTACAGAATTTGATGTTGGCTGCAAAAGGGACATAGAATCTTTAAATCACTGTAGGACAGATAGGAGTACTTTCATATGTATCATATCATGAACTTTGTTTTGGTCTGATTAATTTTTAGTTTATTTGCTGAAAACCAGCTAGCAACCTTTTGAAGTTCAACATTGGCTTCGAAAATTAAGTCTTTCAAATTTTTACCAGAATAGAAGATGTTTGTGTCATCAGCAAACAGTACATATCTAATTTCCTTAAAGACTCAACAATGTCATTTATGAAGAGCAAAAATAATAACGCAAGTGGTTTGCACCTCAAGTGTATAGATTCATAATTTAAAAAAATATGTAATATAAAAAAAAAGCAGAAAAAAAGATCAAAGGTATACAGTGGCTAATCTTAAGAGCCCTTGATCTGATGAGACGTACTCATAATCCACCTTGATCTACCGTCAACATAACGATCAGCAGTTTCAATCAGTTTTGCAAAGGGCAAGGTTTTTATCTTCTGTTCTTTAATGGACACCGCTATTAAAGTTGTAGGAACTATTGTACCATCAGTACTATCTGCACCAAATTTCAAAGGTGTCGTCCAAATTAGAAATTTATAACCTCTTCTCGAGATAACCCTGTAACCTAATGTACGAAGTGTGAGGCCGTATCCTCACTGTGGTGGTGGTTTACTTTACCTGACTGCTAAGAAATCGTAAATGCTTGTAAGTAAGCAACCAGACGACCGACGGCTTTAGGTCCTCTCCGAGGGACCTGGTAATGAGGCTAAGTAATGCCTTACCAAAGGGCACTAGCGCATCGACTTGGTTTCGAACCAGGGTCACCGGATCACGAGACCACTGCTCTACCGACTGAGCTATCGCGCCCCCTCGTCTTGGCGAGCAATACGTAATTTCTCCCTATACTCTTCACAAGTCAAAGAATATCGATTGAGAATTGCAGACTTCAGTATCTTGTAATCCCAAGCATCCTGATCTGACAACCTTGAAAATGTGTCGTATGCCTTACCCGTAAGGAATACACTTAATTTAATAGCCCAAACCGTTTGAGGCCACCGTTGTGCAGTAGCATACCTCTCAAAAAGATATAATGAAGCATCTAATTTGTCTTTACCTTCATTAAATACTGGAAGTGAAGTTTCCTCGGTCCTATCTGTATTTGCGACTTCGGCCTTAGTCAGTTCCAACTGTAGCACCGCTAAATTACTTTCGTCTCTAGCAATGTCTTGATGCTCCTAAATAAAATCCTGCAATTTGTTACCTATAAGGCCGAGTGTTTCACCCACACAAACAATTTTTTCGATTTCCATTTTTGAACGACACTCACTCTCACAAGTTATGGAACCAAGTAAATAAAGCTTACTTTTACAGTAACGGACCTTAGTCTTCTACTAGCGTCAAACTTCAACCAAGCTCTATATCGGTAGGTTACACGAGACAGCCACTGATTTACCAGGGGGGGGGGTCACACAGACTTAACTATAGCAGGCCACTCATGCCACTGTTTGCTCTTACCATTTACTGGCATTGGTCTCTGAAGGGGCGTGTAAATCGTGGTCACAAATCTACAGAATTTACATTTTTTTCATAGTTCATTATTGAAGGAAAAGATTTTATCTAAAGATCATAATTGAGAGACCAATAGTCAGAGCAACCTTTGGCATGAATGGCCTGCCATAGTTATGTCCAACTTAAAGTCGATCTTAGTCTTTGTGAAACACCCCCAAGTACTCCAATCCTGACTCTATTCAGCAATCACTTACTATTTCCCAACATACATAAAGTGCTATCTTTTTTTCTAATAGAAAAACCTATACAATCTTATTTCTCTAAAGTAGAGTTCTTGATCTATAAAGAAACAACTAAAACACTGGGCCAGAATCTTTTCCTAAAAATGAATCTAATTACCTGATTACCTTCTAGGAAGAAGTCGCTCCTACTCATGTAGGCCTCCTTACCTTTGATGATTTCTACATGGTACTGGCAGAGTGTAAGTGCCCAGCGGGGCACTCTGCTATTAACAGCCTTACCTTTTTTTTAATCGCCAAAACGGCTAGTGATCGACCTCGAGTTCAAAGTTTCCTCCTTACTTGAAAGAAATGTGCCAATGTGTTCATGGCATCTGATGGGTGTCAGGGTGATGCACACTTAATCTTCTGTACAAATTTTGGGATTTTCTTAAAAGAGTGCCGTGACTAAATAAATAGGTTTAAAAACACTTGTCTAGGGAACCCCCTCTATATTTACAGATAAGGCCCAAGAGCCCGCCTTAGGTTAGGTACTGTTTCGTCCGAAGTCTTATAGGCACAATCATTTCGAGTCAACTCTTCGGCAATGTAATCTGTTTTAATCTGGCTTTCTCTTCTTCTATTTAATTTCCGCCGCTCGTTGTTGTTTTTTTCACTTCTCCATTTTTAGGCTGCAAACAAAAAATAGGAAGGGCCGCGGGCGATTCGCCGCCGTCGGTTAAATGTAATACAGTTATTATTATAAGAAAGAGGTGTATTGATGAAGAGTGTACATATTTCTTTCCCAACACTGGAATGTTATACAAAATGTCTATGAAATTCTAGTATTGGTGATTTAATTTCAGATATAATCAGCTTCCATTTAAATGAATAGGAGAAATACAAATCCATTTTGTTAGTTATCATATATATCTTGGCTATTCGTAATTTAATTCATGATGTTCCTATATATCTCTTTACCATGTGGATCAACTCTCCCACAAGCGGCACGACTCGCCTGAAGACGTGGCTGAACTTCCTTCACACTGTAAATGTGTTTAAGCCACTTGACCTTTTTTTCTCAATGAGAAGCCGTGCAAAAGATTTGCAATGATCTTTAATAACATATTAGTATTTGTAGAACAGCTATATAGTTGTACTAATTAACATGGTAAAAATAACTTTTCCTACAAAAAATGATTAACTAGGAAATATTACTATTAATAGAAAAAATTGCTCGACTTATATTATTCGTGTACAGAGTCATTTCAGATGTATTTATACGTGATTGTTTTGAAAACAAGACAAGAATATCTACATTAATATCTCTTCCACGCTATCGTAAAGTAGATTAAAAGGGAGGAACAACATTCATCTTTAAATAGACCTATAAGTATTCTTTGGGGTGTCGTTTCACAATGTTAAATCTGAGATGCATGGCCTTAGCTATTATCAGTGTCTGTGATACGGTGTAATAGTGAAGCCCTGAAAAAAATGATCATGAAGTAACTCAAAAAAATTAAATTTTTTGAGCGGTAACCAGTTTTTCATACTCATTTTCCCCAATAGACTGTAGTGTTATAGAAATCGTTGGGAAAACGAATTCTGACATTTCTAATTCCAATCATAGATATCTTGATAGTCAGACAGGTTAATGGCTTGTAAAAAGTTATGGGATACATGTACGACATAAAGGTTTGTAATTATTTATTTTTATTTTTATTTAGCTTTTAATTCCACATTAACTGCATATGAAAAGAATTTACAAAGTAAGGCATAGGCTATACAAGGTAACAAAACATGTACATAATATTCTATAGATAAAATAGTAAAAAAAAAAAAAAAAAGAATTAACGGCAAGTTATTCAATACAAATGATGCTAACAATAATCTGCAGTAATGAGGAGGAAACCTTGGAAGCATTATGCTTGTAATTAAGGTTCCCTTCAATTATGATTGCAGCATGAGCAAAATCCAGGATTTTTGTTAGAATATGAGGCAAAGTTACCCAATCCCTTTAAGTAAGGGTCAGTGATAGCATTACAACAAGGTGACGTTATATTAAAATATCATATCATGAAAATTATAACCAAACAACAGTAACAACAGTATGATTTCAAACCAAAATGATAAAATACCTGTGCAGGCGGTCTTAGGTTTTTAATCGAAAAATCAACCCTTTTACAATTTAGTCATCTGCGCCAGGCGCAGGCCCTGCCCAAATTAAAATTAAAGGTAATACAATGTTTTAGTATGGGGTCATGAATCAGGTTCAAATGAACATATTGGAAGCATATGCGATTTTACAATATTCGATAATTGTTGTCGCGGTTGAAATCGAGTAGAGTGATGAAATTGTAAATAAACTCTTTATGTTGTATTGCTCTCTCTCAAGACTTACATTACTTTAGCTTTAAAACAATGTTTCTTGAATATAATCGACCGATTCGCTATTCCCGTTTGGAAATTAAATATAAAAACTGCATATTCTGAGATTGTCATGGTCGCAGCTATCATGGAATGGCCTTAGGCGCTATTTGAAATATTTGAAATTTTCCGGGAGCACTGGTAAATTTTTATTTTTCAATTTCTCGAAAGCAGAAGTGTTTCTGGGGCTAAATTTTCTAGTGCTTATAATCATGACATCAACAGGGGCATCCAAATGTATAAAAATGTTAAAGAATTACTATCCATCCAATTTTCAAAATTTCCCAAACCTTTGAATTACCTTTAACATACATGAATATGTATAATACTAGTAATTTACTTATTCACTCAATGAAGTTTTCCTTAATACCATTTACGTAGTAAAGCGCTTCACAGCCTACAAGAAACGCAGGCTTCGGGCATCATTCGTTATAACATAATTAACTCATTACATACTGGAGCTACCCGAATCCAGTGATAAAATGTATGGACTGGGAGAATTCAGGATTGAATGGGTTAATAATGATAATAAAAATTGTACTTATAATAATAATAATATTAACGGTAATTATGATGGAAATAATGATGATGATATTACTACTACTACTAATAATAATGATAATAATGATTATGATAATAGTAATAATAATAGTAATAATGATAATAATAATAATAATAATAATAATAATAATAATAATAATAATAATAATATTCCGCTTATATAGCACTTAATACGATGTCTCTAAGGGCTTTTCAGATACACTCTGATGATGATGATGATGATGATGATGATGATGATGAAGATAATAGCAACAATCCATAGCAGAGTAGTATTATTATCAGGCATACTAGAGTGATAACAATGAAAATATATGCCGCTGTCTATTTAATAATCGACCGGCGCTTGTTGGTCAGTCGCCAAGGCAAAAATTTGGCTTGTTTCGTGTCAGCGGAAACTCTCACAGCAAATTAATGAACTAATAAACAGCGCCATCTTTAGACAAAAATAGTAATCGCTGTGAAGGAGCACAGAAAGGATTCAACTTGCAGCTTCCATTCATGTAAATGCATAAAAGTAACCCTTAAATATATTTTAAATGATCTGTGAAAAATATTCGTTTTTAATTTTTGTTTACTGCTCTCGCCTTTTTATTTTGTTCATCTCTGTATGTGATTTCAGGGTAAGTGGATGGTACGAAAAAGCTCAATAAAATATCATATTTGCCTGATGTTTTTCCTGTTTGCTTTGGATTATCATCTCCATCTAGAACTCACGTACTCATTATATATTTTATTTATTTTTCGTTTCTACAGGAAATGCGGGAATCATTTGCTGTTGACAGAGATATCTACCAAAGGCGATGACGATGGGAAACTACAGTTGCACTAGTGATATTCTCTGGATGAACAACACTAGGAATTGGAGAGAAAGAAAAAATTAAAAAAACCTTTGAGAGCAAGCATCTTAGCCATCCCGGGAACAAGACTGCGAAAATCTTTCAATCTCTCTGATACCTATTTATCAATCATTTATCTGCCCGCACGTCGGTCTGTATAAGCCGATCCGTATAAAGCTTACTCTCTCTCTAAAAAAAAAAAGAGTTAATTTTCACTTCTTGGGAGTGACGTCAGTGATCAGTTGTTTAGGAGTGAATATCGATTGATTTTAGAGTACTCTCTAAGAAAAAAAAGTTAATGTTCACTCTATTTAGACTTCATTTTCACTCCCCAGAGGAGTTTTTTGTCTCGCCTGCGTAGCAAAAAGCGAGACATAGGCACCGCTTTTCCGGTGACGGCGACGGTGACGGCGACGGCGGCGGCGGCGACGGCGGCGTCAACATCAAAAACTTAACCTAAGGTTAAGTTTTTGAATTTTTGATATAATTTTTAAAGTATAAGTTCTTAGTCAATGAAACTTTGACTTTAGGGTAATCAAGTATCCCCAATCATGTGAGTAGAATTTCAGATCACAAAGTCAAGGTCAAAGGTCATTTCAGGTCAACAGACTTGGACTATGTTGTAGCATCATCATCGAAAACTTAACCTAAGGTTAAGTTTTTGAATTTTTGATATAATTTTGAAAGTATAAGTTCTTAGTCAATGAAACTTGGACTATAGGATTATCAAGTCTCCCCAATCATGTGAGAAGAATTTCAGGTCACTAAGTTAAGGTCAAAGGTCATTTAAGGTCAACAAACTTAGACTTTGTTGTGGCATCAGCATCAAGATTTTCAAAATGCTTCTTCTTGGTTATTTTTCAACCGATTTTGATTCTGATTGTTTCATATGATAGGGCTAGGGGGGGGGGGGGTTAAAATTTCTACACAGAATCGTGAAATTCATTATCTGTGCTAATTTATGCAAATTTATTCAAAATCACAAAAAAGGCTTCTTCTTCATTTCTCGACCGATTTTGATTTGGTTTGCTTTATATGGTAGAGCTAACTTGGGTACACTAAACTTCTACACAGAATTTTGAAATTGTTCTCCATTAATTAATTATGGTAATTTATGCAAATTTATTCCAAAAATAACACAAATTGCTTCTTTTCCCTCATTTCTTGACTGATTTTGATTTGGTTTGCCTTATCTGGTAGAGCTAAATTTGGAACACTAAACTTCTACACAGAATTGTGAGATTTTGCCATTGATTATTTATGGTACTTTATGCAAAATGAAATGAAATTATGTCCGTTCCAGGGCATCAAATTTTTATTTTTTGACCAGTTCAAAAGTGTACCACATAACATTTACGATATTTGTTGTTGCGAGATGCGGATGAGCGCTACGTCATTGACGATCTGGTTTATCATATTTAATTGCGTTATGCAGGCGAGACCGCCGAGAGCGTTTCCCTTGTTTTTTTTAGAGAGTAGTAATTACCTTTTCATTATATTTGCTTGCATCTTAGGAGTTATCAACATCGCAATGATATTCAAACTATTGCTTATGGTAATAAAAAAGAAAAAACTGAATGAAATGAATGTTTCATAATAAGGAAAATCTTCTTCATTTGCTTTTGATTTTATTTGGTTATTTCTGAATATAGTAAGATGTTTCTATTCTGGGGAAGCATTGGCTTGAATAATTCAAATTGTTCAATTTACATGTTACAAATAGCTTACTTGGAATACCTTAAGATACAAGCAGAAAAGTAGAAAGGGTAATTATAAAGTTTCTTCTAGTGTTATGCAGGCCTGTTGTTATGAACTGTTCATGTTTGTGTTTAGTTTTAAGCTATCGACATCGCTATTCTTTCACATGTTTGTGAATGCACGTGTTATAGAATTGTATTGATGTCGTTAACAAGACATTATCATCATCATTGTCTTTCTCATCATCATCTACGCCATCATTATTAGCATCATCATCATCATTTTCATCATAACCATCATCAATCGTATTTATCATCATCATCTTCATAATTATCATCATCCTCATCACCATCATCATTATAATCATTCTCATCACCACCATCAGTATAATCACCATCATCAACATCATCGTCATTAAGAATCATCAAAAGTCATGAATTATTGGGAGTGATGTGTTTAAATTTGTCATTTTGTGTCCATTCGTTATTTAGGTGTAATACTCTGTACTTGATTGTTTTTCGTATCATCATTCGCACTTGTTATGTATAAAACCGCGCAATAATTATTTCTGGTTTTCTAATTATTCTTTGTTGATATATATAGTTTGATTACTATGACAATAAATGAGCAATTTATCGCAAAATTTTGTTGTACAGTGAATGTCTTAGGGTGTTAATTGTAAATATCTCGCCATTTTAAAAAAGGAGAAAAAAAGATAGAGGGATACGAAATATACAAGCCCAGAAGAGAGATGGGGAGAGGGGGGATATATATATATATATATATATATATATATATAATGGATAGAGAGAGAGAAAGAGAGAGAGAGAAAGAGACCAAATGAAAGGATGGGTATCACAGATGGAATATTTGATAAAGCATAAGTGCATGTGTAGACTTACGTTTACAATTTCATTGATTTCCATTATACTAGTCACGGAAATCCTTACCATGCAAAAAAAAACTCTGTCAGGGTTGAGCACGATTCCTTGAGAATTGAGAAATAGCGCCATCTGTTCATTCTCTTTCTCTACCCCCCCCCCCCCCCCACTCTATCTCCCCCCCCCCCCCCCCCTCTCTCTCTCTCTCTCTCTCTCTCTCTCTCTCTCTCTCTCTCTCTCTCTCTCTCTCTCTCTCTCTCTCTCTCTCTCTCTCTCTCTCTCTCTATCTCTCTCTCTCTCTCTCTCTCTTTCTTGCTAACTTTTATTCTTACCCCTCAAAAAAAACTTTGCTCTTTACCACCTTTCAGAATGAAGAGAATTATGGTGATTGATTGACTGTCTAGTTGACTAATTTTTGAATAATAATGTCAGCACCAACCCCCCCCCCCCCCCCCAAAAAAAAAAAAATCCAGATCTGACAAGTGATTGCAAATCGTTTTATTTGCCCAGTCCGGCAGTCGCCTGAAGTTAACAATGGTTGCATCACAGGATTACTACTGTTGTGACAGCAAATACACGTTCAAAGTTAAACAACATTAACAAATATTGATAGACACACATATCACTGGGAGTAGATTACTTCTGGTTATTCATCTGTATCATTCTAGTTTCATCGTAAATACGCATCTCTTGCCAAGGGCTTGGGAGTCAGTCTGAGATCGCCGCCGCCCCCCCCCCCCCCACGCACCCTTCCCACCCACATAGGATCGCTCGAGGGGGCGGACGCTCAATTGCGGTACCCCCATTAAAAAGTTTTATCATCAAAGTCGTCAAAAAAAATGGTAAAACAAAAAAGAGGAGGACCCATTATTAAGAATTACTTTTCAATGTTTTTCATTTGTTTTAGTCGATGTCGTTGTTCCTTATCATGAAATGTTTTAAGGTAACTTTAGTCTGACTTCAAACAGAACAAAAACAAGACAAAATCAACCTAAAAACATTTCATTGTCAGTGATTTATTTTCCTTACGCCAGCAATATGAAGAGGGTCAGAGAAATCGTTGAGTAACAGTGTTCCGCCCATGAACCGGTAGCGAGAACACACTTTTTCCTCCTTCTTTCTTTCTTTTCTTTTTTTCTTGCACACAGCCTGAATAGAATGCGCTTTACACAGATAATCGCACGGTTGGCATTGAAACCATCTTGGGACTTGCAAAGTTTTGGAGCACGGAAGAGAAAATGTGCTCCCCCGGTGCATCCCGGTACGCATTTTCGTGCTTTAACCTTGATCTAGTTTGCACGTGTTCATCAATATGTGCAGGCTTCTAGTCTGCTTCTACAGACCTTTTTCGAAATAAAGAAGGAGTTCAACCACAACCATTATTCAAAACAAATCCTGTCCTTTTAACTGAACTTTGGAAACGCTTTTCTATTTCCTGCGCAAAGGAAAGAGTTATTATCATTTCAATAATTTTGCATTGTCAAGTTTTATCATCAATAAGGCTCAAGCAATCCCACCATCAGAGTTATTTCAATTTTATAGTACTTAGATATATAACAAAATACAACGTGGGTTTACAAACTGAGACCAAAGTGGTGATCTACATTTTGTTGAACTACTTTAGGTGCTAAATCGTGCTCTTTTTTTCCCTGACATTTGTGCACACACGAATTTTTAGGACCATGACACAAAGCTGTCACCTTTATCCGTCTTTTCTTCTGTCTTTAAGTTGATCCGTGTAAATGTATAAATATCCTCATGTATTTTACAATCCGATTGGTCGAGAGAGAGGGACAGAGAGACAGAGAAAGAGAAAGAGAGAAAGAAAGAGAGGGAGAGAGAGAGAGAGAGAGAGAGAGAGAGAGAATTTAAGTAAATATATAATGAGAGAGAGAAAAAGATAAATGTATACAAAGGTAGAGCGAAATCATAGAAGTAAGCAAACTAAGATGATTACCAGAATTCCAGGAAAACTTACCCGGGACAACAATACTACCCATCTCTGAAGGACGTGTCTGGGGAGTCCGTCTGGGGCAGTTATCGAAATAACAACTCAGGGATATAGGATTTTAGGGGGGCATTAATCGATAAAATTAATGTAAAAGAATGACACGGTTTTATTATTTTCTTTATCAAATCAAACAATTATAGATGAAACCGGCCCCGAACATAAATTCGTTAATTTTACCGTTATAGTGGGTCTCCTTCACTTCATACCTATATCAAGCAACCACTTACCTACAGTTTGCACCTAGTTTTTTTGTTTGGACCTAGGTCACAAACCCTTGTCAGTCTTAGTAGCAGAGTGTCTGAGCTGGGAGACTATTCTGACTGCACAGTCTACTGGTCACCGTAGGATCTATACTGTAGCTACTCCCGTGACACAGCTAGAGACTAGCAGTTAGGTTCAGCTCAAGACTTAATGGAATGGTGTGTTTTTTTTAGAGTCAAATTAGATTCTGTACCTCAAGACTACCACTTACCATGCCTACGGTTAAGAATATGGCAGTAACGACAAATCTTTAAATAATCGTTAGAATAACCTCCCTTGCATACTTTGAATAGTCTTTTGAAAGAGAATAGTAATCCGAAATATTAGGAATAACACACCGAATAATCAAGT